TACTGCAAAAAAAAAAAAACAAAAAAAAAACCTACAATGAGATATCATCTCATACCGGTCAGAATGGCTGTCATCAAAAAATGTACAAACAATAAATCCTGGAGAGGGTGTGGAGAAAAGGGAACCCTCTTGCACTGTTGGTGGGAATCTAACTTGAAACAGCCACTATGGAGAACAGTATGGAGGTTCCTTAAAAAACTAAAAATAGGGGCTTCCCTGGTGGCGCAGTGGTTGAGAGTCCGCCTGCCGATGCAGGGGACATGGGTTCGTGCCCCGGTCCGGGAAGATCCCACATGCTGCGGAACGGCTGGGCCTGTGAGCCATGGCCTCTGAGCCTGCGCTTCCAGAGCCTGTGCTCCACAACGGGAGAGGCTACAATGGTGAGAGGCCTGCTTACCACACACACACACACACACACACACACTATCATATGACCCAGCAACCCCACTACTGGGCATGTACCCTGAGAAAACCATAATTCAAAAAGAGTCATGTACCAAAATGTTCATTGAGGCTCTATTTACAATAAGCAGGACATGGAAGCAACCTAAGTGTCCATCAACAGATGAATGGATAAAGAAGATGTGGCACATATATACAATGGAATATTACTCAGCCATAAAAAGAATCAAAATTGAGTTATTTGTAGTGAGGTGGATAGACCTAGAGTCTGTCGTACAGGGTGAAGTAAGTCACAAAGAGAAAAACAAAACAAAAACCGTATGCAAACACATATAAATGGAATAAAAAAAAATGGTCATGAAGAACCTAGGGGCAAGACGGGAATAAAGACTCAGACCTACTAGAGAATGGACTTGAGGATACTGGGAGGGGTAGGGTAAGCTGGGACAAAGTGAGAGAGTGGCATCGACATATATACACTACCAAACTTAAAATAGATAGTGAGAAGCAGCCGCATAGCACAGGGAAGTCAGCTCGGTGCTTTGTGACCACCTAGAGGGGTGGGATAGGGAGGGTGGGAGGGAGGGAGATGCAAGTGGGAAGAGATATGGGGACATATGTATATGTATAATTTATTCACTTTGTTATAAAGCAGAAACTAACACACCATTGTAAAGCAATTATGCTCTAATAATGATGTTAAAAAATCAATAAAAACATAAAAAAATTTTGTGGGATAACATTTACCGGTCTGAGTGCATTCTGACAAATTGTTACACTGTTTATCTATTACTGTGTAACAGTATTACCACAAATTTAACAACTTAAAGCAATGGACATTTATTACCTCACAGTTTCTGTAGCTGGGTCTTCTGCTTCAGGTTATCACAAGGTTGCCATCAGCATTCAGCTGGGGCTGCAGTCTCATCTGAGGCTTGACTTGGGATGGATCTGTTTTCAAACTAACATGGTTGTTGACACCATTCACTTTTCTGTTTGGACTGAGGACCTGATTGTGTTGCTGGTTGTTGGCTAGAGACTGCTCTTGGCTCCTTGTCACGTGGGCCACCCCAAAATGACTGCCTGCTTCCTCAAAGCCAGCAAGGGAGAGTGTCCCAGTAAGATTGGCTACATTCTTATGCACTGTTAGTTTGGAAGTGACATCTCCTCATCTTTGCCGTATTCTTTTGGCTAAAAGCAAGTCATAGATTGTGCCCACGCCCAAGGAGAGGGGATAACTTAAGATATGAATACCTGGAGACTTGGGATCATGGGTCTGTCCATCACAATTGCTTAGAAAAAAGTTGGCTGTAAGGAGACTGATAGCATGATATAATAATAGAAAGAAAGTACATTGTGTAGAGTCAGAGAAAAAAAAAAAGGTGTAATGACATATACCAAAACAGCAATCTGGTTACCTCCGTGAGTGGTAGTTAAAGACAAGCGATAACCTAGAAAAACATGTGAACAGCAAAGAGTTTCTACCTGTAATATGAGCACAAGACACCCTTCAAAAGAAAATGAACAGCGAACATGGATAGTCCATAAAAGAATTAAAAAGGAACAATAAACACGTGAAAAGAGATTCAATTCCAATGATAATCAAAGAAATGCAAACCAAAACAATAATAGATTGGGATTTTAAAAAATTTATAGGACTGGCAAAATTTCAAATTGATAATACCTAGTATAGGTGAAAGTATAGGCAATTTGGCACCCCCATTGCAAGTGAGAGTCTGAAGTGGTTTGGTTAGTATGGGAAGATATCCACAATATATTAAATTGGTTAGCAGTTTATGATGAACTGATTATCTCTGAGTCGTGAGACAATGGGTGATTTTGACTTTTAAAAAACAGTACATCCTGATATATTTTCTAAATTTTTAAATAATCAGCACGCTTTTCCTCATAATCAGAGAGAATGATACACCTGTTTTTATTCTGAACAAACTGTTAGGGCCTCATATCTTACTCTGAGTGGAATTTTTAAAGAAGGACTTAAAACCTTTAAAAATTAAGAGCACAAGATAAGAAACATAATAAATATGGTGGAGATGGACCTTGAGAAAGTTATTTAACTGCTCCAAGCCATAATTCCCTGTAAACTGGGTGCTAATAATGCATGTTATATATGATTATTGAGGATGAAATGAAATAATATATATAAAGTGCTTAGTCCCTGCACATTGTAGCTGCTCTGCCACAGTTACTGCCAGAAAAGGAAAAGAGAAACATCAGGTGACAGATTTGAAAGGGGATACTGAGCCAAAAAAAAAAAAAAAGTAAGGAGGGAAAGAAGTTATCTTTTTAAAATATCTTTCCATCCAGATAAAGGTTTTTCAAGCGCTTGATAGACTCCTATAACTAACCTTTCCTGTTTAGCCAGTCTACAGACCCTCCAGACTCTACCCTGTTTCCCCATTCTGTCCCAGCTTTACACCAGGAAAAGGGCTTTCTCAGAATATAGTTCAAGTTAAAGATAAAAGGTGTCACTGAGCTTTTTCTCAGAATATAATAATGGGCCTCTTAAGTGACAGATACATCATCCTTGATATAGGGATCATAAAAACCCTTTGAAAAGGTCACATGGTGAAAAGTTTGAGACCTGCTGTTTTAGTAGTATAAGAGCTCTTAACTATGAGATTACCACTTTCAGTACTGTGACTTAACAAAGAGCCTCCAAATAAATGGTTCTGGGAATTACCCCATTAATACAGTTTGTCCTGTGGTTATGTATGATGGTACCTGTCCTTTACACAGTTTTTGCTCTGCTGTTACATTTCTGAAAATAAAGCATGTGTTCTCTGTTAATTTGCTTGTGTTTTCAGAATACATTAAGATGGCAGATCATTATGTGCCAGTGCCAGGAGGACCAAACAACAACAACTATGCAAATGTGGAATTAATTCTTGATATTGCTAAAAGGATCCCAGTACAAGTAAGAGATGCCGGCATCTCCTCGAAATCCAAATTCAGCCTTTTTGAAAAAAAAATTTTTATGGGAGTATAGTTGATTTGCAGTGTTGTATTTCTGTTGTACAGCAAAGTGAATCAGTTATACATAAACATCTATCCACTCTTTTTTAGATTCTTTTCCCACGTAGACCATTACAGGGTATTGAGAAAAGTTTCCTTTGCCAAATTCAGCCACTTTACAGTTGGGCACAAGGGAGTAGCCAGTGAAGAACTTCTAATTTTATATAAAGCATCTTTGTTGAACGTTGGTAAAAGCCTTTATATGGGATATAACAGACAGGGAAAGGAAAGATGGAAAGAATGGAATGAGCCAACATAAAGTAAATGTAATCCAAACAAGAGGTTTGTAAAGGTCTTTCAGAGATTATTCTATCCATTTCGCCTTCCAACCTCCTAGTAAGTAAAAGTTGCCTGTTTCAAGTGGTATACTCTTAGTCCAGAATATGGTAGAGTAGAAGGAGGTTGTTTCTTCCCTATCACATTGTGTTAAGGAGTTTAGGGTAAGTGTCTTAAAGCCCAAAGAGAAAAAAACGTGGGATTTGTATGGCAGTATAACCACTAGATATAAAGGTGGAGTTGGGTGGCCAAAGTAATTCAATCTGTGGAAGAAAACCAACATTTCTACAAGAGGCTCTATAGAGTCTAGTTGAAAGGCTAGTTGAAAGGAAACTGAGTTTCCTAAAGAGCAACAATACTAGCTGGTTCTTAATATCAGTTTCAACCTGTTTTTGACCTCTTCAGAGGTTTTACCACAGTGGACTGCTTATTGTTGTTCTGTGAAAAGTTTGCCAAGAATCAGGCATAGAAGCTGAATTAGGCATTAGGCTGCCATGGAGCTATTGTACCTCATGGAGCAGGGCCAGTCTTGGTAGAAAGTAATACAGTTTATCATGTTCTTTTTAGTATGAATTTTAAGAATGAATCATATTGTGTTCCCTTGTAGGCAGTTTGGGCTGGCTGGGGTCATGCTTCTGAGAATCCCAAGCTCCCAGAACTTCTTTTGAAAAATGGCATCGCCTTCATGGGTAAGCCTTTCTGACATACTGTTCCTGCCTTTCTGTTTCTCTCTGTCATTTTGGCCCTGGGCTCTTAGTTTTTCATCAGTCAGCAGCTCTCCAAGTAACCCTTTTCTTCATTCCTTTTTCTTTCTTTTTTTTTTTTTAAACCCTTCATCATTTCTTACATCTTGCATCTTGATAGTGTTTTTTGTCCCCAGATTCTTTTCTATGAGATATGGAGGAGGCTCTGATTTCCAGAACATTGGCCTTTAAAAACTTTGCCATTAACATTAAGAAAACATGTGGAGAAACGACCTATTTTTATATAGAAAAGATAATTGAATAGTTAGGATACACTGGCAGTGTGCCCTTAAATATGAATCATTTCTTTCACATTTAAGTATGTAGATTATATTCCTATAAGTGAGAGCTATTTCTTCTGACTTTTCTGCTGTCCTATACGGAGAGAAAATTTGAGGTTGTATGGCTCAAAGTGTTTCTGTCTCTATCTCTGCAATGATGATTATGCTTTGTAAAGCCTATTAAAGATAAATCTTCCATTTGGGTTTCTATAAGACCAAGGAGAGTATAATATTTTAAACTTGAACACCAAAACTTTATTGTCCTTACTTCAGGATATTGGTTAAAAAAAAAAAAGGAAAGACTTTGTTAATATGGTAAAGGTGGATCATGACAGATGATAAAATCAGAGTTACATTTGTCAGGAATTTAATTCAGCATATATTTATATATATTGAATTCTCCCTGTATGCAAAAATTTACCACATTAGGTTCTATGAAGGGTACAAAGATGAGCCAAAACATAGTAGTCCCTGTAATCAAGTTTCTGATGTTGATGATATGTACTGTAGGGGATACAAGACAAATACAAAAATAATTATATGGAAGACAAAATACATGTGACAGAAACGAGGCCAAAATGTTACAGTCAGGGTTCTTTCCTTGTTTTGTTTTCAGGTCCTCCAAGTCAGGCCATGTGGGCTTTGGGGGATAAGATTGCATCTTCCATAGTGGCTCAAACTGCAGGTATCCCAACTCTTCCATGGAGTGGCAGTGGTAAGAAATCATTTGTTTGTATCTTAAAGTGTAGAAAAGCTTGGTAGAATATTTGGGACTGTGGCCTTGGGGCTTAAGCCTGCTTTAAAATGCGTTGGATATTTGACAGAAATAGAATACACATTAATTAATGGTATCTTGTATCTCCTGGCTTAATTGTTGTACCTGTGGTTTTATCATGTCTTAAGAATGTAAATTTTGTACCAGGTATGTAGATGCTAAATTGTAATGTAAATGATATTGGCACTTAATTTGGAGAAACTCTGAGAAAACTCATCTGGTTCTGTGGATTCAGATCTACTCTGGGTAGGCTAGAATCTTCCTCAGAGATAGACTTCTTAGGTGGAATAGGCCTTTGAACCTGCCTGGGAGGTGACTGGAATCGCTAAGAAAAAGCTAAAACCCACCTACTCAGATGCTTGCCTGCCAGTATTCTTTTTCTTTCTTTCTTGCTTGCTTGCTTGCTTGCTTTCTCGCTTTCTCGCTTTCTCTCTCTCTCCCTCTCTCTCTCTCTCTCTCTCTCTCTTTCTCTCTTTCTCTCTCTCTCTCTCTCTCTCCCCCTCTTTCTCTCTCCCTCTCTCTTTTTCTCTCTCTCTCCCTCCCTCCCTCCCTCTCTCTTCCTTCCTTCCTTCCTTTCTCTTTCTGTTTATTTAATCTTTATTTTTAAAATTTTATATTGGAGTATAGTTGATTAACAATGTTGTGTTAGTTTCAGGTGTACAGCAAAGTGATTCAGTTATACATGTATCTGTTCTTTTTTAAATAAATTTATTTATTTTATTTATTTATTTTTGGCTGTGTTGGGTCTTCGTTGCTGCACATGGGCTTTCTGTAGTTGTGGCGAGTGGGGGCTACTCTTTGTTGCAGTGTGCAGGTTTCTCATTGTGGTGGCTTCTCCTGTTGTGGAGCACAGTCTCTAGGCACGCGGGCTTCAGTAGTTGTACATGGGCTCAGTAGCTGTGGCGCACGGGCTTAGTTGCTCTGTGGCATGTGGGATTTTCCCGAACCAGAGATCGAACCTGTGTCCCTTGCATTGGCAGGCGGATTCTTAATCACTGTGCCACCAGAAAAGTCCCTCTATTCTTTTTTGCCAGTGTTTTCTTGATTTGAGCCCACAGTCTACTGATGATTTGTTTTGCTTGTTTAATACCATTCAACCTCTCATTTGCCCTTGATGCAGAAAAATGAGGTCAATAATCAACCTTTCTTTTAGACATGCAGAAGGATGAATTTTTTGTAAATATGATTTATTCTTGAAGAATCCCTTGAAGAGTGCGTTGTGAATTATTATAGCTGATAACAATATGAACTTCTGTCTTTTTGGTACTGAAGCACAGAGAGCAAACATACACTAAAACCTCTTCCGAATAGGAAATACCATAGTCTTGAGTCAGAACAGATGTGAACTCTTGTTACTCTGGCTCTCCAGGGGGATTGCAATATCCTCTCCAGACCGGCTGGGTCAAACAGTTTAAAATAAAACATTGAATTTGTTCTTGTTTGAGTGGAGAGGCTATACCATTCCCTTTGTGGCTGAGTACAGGGACATTCAGGGAGTATGGAATCATGACTCTGCTGAGGCCAATAAAACCGCCATTTCCATTTCCAAGAGCTCATAAAGATTGAATTATTTCTCAGGCCTCTGGCCCTGGAGCAGCCCTGAACACACACATCGAAGGTATTTTGCCTGCTGAGTTTATGTGAGAAGTCTGACGTGCTTTTTTGTTTGTTTGTTTTGTCTTGTATGTCCTTGCATTTTTTTTTAATTGCTGCTTGTTAGCTCTCTTGGCTTTTTCCAGGAACAGAACCCAAGTGGCCAGGTGTTGCTATAGATAAATCCTGCTAACTCCAAGGACTGATCAGGGTTTTATGGTATCCTTCTTTCTCCCATCTACCCTCAATTTTGGATAAATATGAAAGCATTTTAAAGAAGGTACTGGTGGTCCAGTGGTTAGGATTCGGCACGTTCACTGCCGTGGGCCTGTGTTTAATCTCTGGTTGGGAAACTTAAGATCCTGCAAGCCGTGTGGCACTGCCAAAAAAAACAGTGGGGGGAAGTAAAGAAGGTATAAGCAGAAAATTGACAAGAACAGCAGCTTTTGTAGCTGCTTTTAAGTCACTGTTATCTATTACAGGTCTTTGTGTGGACTGGCACGAAAATGATTTTTCAAAACGTATCTTAAATGTTCCTCAGGAACTATATGAAAAAGGTTGTGTGAAGGATGTGGATGACGGGCTGAAGGTAAGTTACTAACTCTAGGGAGTGATGTTTTTCAACGGACCACTTACAGTCCCAAATACAGGGATTTGGAGCCTGGTTCATGATATACACCCATGATGGCATTAGGGTTGTAAGACCAGGAGGTATAGTTTATAGAATGAGGAAGTTACCTACGTTTCACAAAAATAATTTAAATATGTTTTGAAGCAAGCTGTTCACCTGGACAGAACATTCCTTAGGTGGTTAAATCAGAGCTTTAAGGAGGTTCTGATTCTATTCTCTACCACCTGTTAGTATTTGTGTGCGTGCAGGGGGAGTTGGGGGCAAACAACTTTTTGCCCTACTTGAGTTCAGAACCAAGAAGCCAGGCAGAGAGGTATCAAAATGTCAGCTTTATTATGAATAGAGATGATGGTGAAAATGGTTTAAGTGTGTAGCAACAGTCAGATTCGTAAACTGAATGTCAGTTAAGCTGGCTCGCTCACTGGTTACTGGTGGTGTGAATAACCACAGAGGCAGAGCTTTTGCCATTCAGTTTATTGTATGACTGACAGCTGGCAAAGAGCATATGTTCTGTGTAGTGGGCTGATCCCAAAGGGGAAAAGGCTGAGCTATACATGCTCAGTTTCTCCTTCCAAACTGACCAATCACAGAATTCATTCTTTTTCCCTTGAGGAAGAGTGAGGGAGGGAGCTGATAGAGGCTGAAACTATTACTCTAATTATTGTCTGTCCATGTAGAAACACGAACCCAAGCAAAAGGAGGTCGGCTCTCTAACATTACTTTTTCTTTCTTCATAGTTCTCTCCAGTTTGTTCCCCTTTCACTTTTTAATTAGTTGGAAGTGTCAGCTATGCTTCCAAGGAGATAATGAAAGAGGCTATATTTTAGAAAAACACACTACTCTTGTTTGACTTGTATGTTATAAATTCAGGAGGAACACTGGATGCTCAACTAATTTTGCTCTGTTGTTTGCATTTCAAGTTAAGCATCCTGTAATCTCCTTAATAAGAAGAATTAATATTTCTAATTGAATTGCTAATGCTATGTTCTATTTGATATAATTTGCAAAAGAGTAGAAGCCCTTTGCAGGGAATTAGCTATTTTGCTTATCAGTTAAAATTCCTTTTTTTCCTGGTTATAAACATAAAATTTTCTGGTAGAAAATTTGGAAAGTAAGAAAAGAGATGATAAAACCCATAAGCCCACCATCCAAAGATAAGTCTTGTGAACATATTCATATATTTTCTTCCAGCCTTTTTTGATTCATAGATTCATATAATGATAATCTTTATTAGTAGATTCCCATAACTATAATTATTATGATAATTGTAAAATTAGGGTCTTACTATATACATTGTTTTTGTAATCCTAGGTTTTTTTCTACCTATACATAAGCATTTTCCTTGTGGCATTAAAATTCTTCTAAAAAAATTTTAAACGGATGACCTGTGCCTAGAGCTTTTATATATTTTTAAAAGGCCTACCTTTTTCTTATATCATGTGGGCTACCCTATTTTTTTTATAGTGTTTTTAAAAATTTATTTATTTATTTTATGTATTTATTATTATTATTTTTTGGCTGCGTTTGGTCTTCGTTGCTGCTCACGGGCTTTCTCCAGTTGTAGCGAGCGGGGTCCACTCTTCGTTGTGGTGCATGGGCTTCTCACTGTGGTATCTTCTCTTGTTGCGGAGCCCGGGCTCTAGGTGCATGGGCTTCAGTAGTTGTGGCACATGGGCTCAGTAGTTGTGGCTTGCAGGCTCTAGAGCGCAGGCTCAGTAGTTGTGGCACACGGGCTGAGTTGTTCTGTGGCATGTGGGATCTTCCCAGACCAGGGCTCGAACCTGTGTCCCCTGCATTGGCAGGCAGATTCTTAACCACTGTGCTACGAGGGAAGCCCCCCCTATTTTTTTTTAAGTCTTTCTCACAACTCTGGCTGTTTCTTCATTTATCACCCAGTGATTGAGTTCACCATGCTAATTTTGTTTATAAGCATAGAAGTGAATAGTTAAGAGAGTTTAGAAGAGATGGGACTGTGAGTGAAGGATTTTCATGCATAATCTACTGACAAAAATTAAAATGTGAAATGGTCTTTTTCTGGTGACAACATTTTTTAGATATTGTTACAATGTAAACCGTGAAAGACTGGAATTTTTTTTCTTTTTTTTTTTTGTGGTACGCGGGCCCCTCTCACCGTTGTGGCCTCTCCCGTTGCGGAGCATTGGCTCCGGACGCGCAGGCTCAGCGGCCATGGCTCACGGGCCCAGCCGCTCCGCGGCATGTGGGATCTTCCCAGACCGGGGCACGAACCCGTGTCCCCTGCATCGGGAGGCGGACTCTCAACCACTGCGCCACCAGGGAAGCCCTAGACTGGCATGTTTTGACGAAGGAATGACTCAGTTATTTTAAACTTTTGGTTAACTTTTCCCCAATTTACTTTTTGCCTTAACTATAATATGAACATCTTCCATATCATTGCATGTAAAGGCTACCTCATTCCTTTAATAGTGGCGTAGTAGTCTAGTAAATAGGTATATCTTGATTTAACTGGCTCTTTACTTAATGGATATATAATTAAATATTCAAAAAGTTTTGGGATCCTCACCTGATCATTATAAAATACTATAAATGTGAAAAGCACATTTAGAGTATGTGTTGAAAATTAATTTTCTGACTACTTTCATTAATATTTTGGTATCTTGTTATTTTTATCTTTATCAAAAAGTTGAGGGAGAAAAGTTTCTGGATATGTGTGATTCCTGATTTGTTGAGTCTTATATGTTGTCGGAGGGTCAGAAGCTATGTTGAGGCCATATGAACTGTGTATGTCTTTTTGTCTTTTTTTAAAATAAAAATTATGGAATAAAGACAGAAAGTGTATACTCTGGTAACTTGAAAATAAAATAAAATAAAATAAAAATTATGGGTAATAGACAAATTCCTGCATCTTATGAGAAATTCTAATAATACAGAAATATATACAGTAAAAAGTGAAAGTTTATATCTACTCATCTTCCTTTTATAAATCACTGCTGGTGGATTTTCTAGACTTGTTTTTTTTATACTTACATATGTAAGTGTGTGAATGCATACATAATTATACATATAGTTTTACTTTGTTTTTGATCTATATGGGATTATCTTAGACTGAACCATTACAACATTGCCAATATTCAACCATTTTTTTACCTACCAAAAAATGCAATTTCTTCTTGTTCAACCCAATAGTACAAATATTACTCAGGTACTTTTTTTCCCCACCTAATAGTATATCTTCAGGATCTTTCTATTTTGCTATCTATAGACCTACCAAATGACAGCATTTTTAAAGGGAGAAAATGCTAGTTTTCTCCTTCCCTTCTAATACCATTCTCACTTCCATTTTTCTCTTTCTTCTTGAAGGCAGCGGAGGAAGTTGGATATCCAGTAATGATCAAGGCCTCAGAAGGAGGAGGAGGGAAGGGAATCAGAAAAGTCAACAATGCAGATGACTTCCCTAACCTCTTCAGACAGGTAGAGTACAAGCTGTCATTATTTATTGGAACTAACATGTATATCAGAGATGCATGTAATTTGGATGTCCAGAAAATATTTAGATTTTTTTTGTCTACAGCTAATCTTGTCTTTCTTTCTAGCCTCTACCTGCTTATCAGCAGGGGAAAAGAATTAATTAAATGTCCAGTTCAATTTAAGGTTTTATTCATTTAGGTAATTCAAGCAGTAGAGTTATTCTGCCTTATATAAAATTGCTCAGTTTCTCAGATAGCTCTTCTGCATATGGTTTGTGTGGCTCATAGGAATTCATAGTAATAAGCAAGAGTCAGTACCTTTCTGCATTTTTGTGTCCCTCTTCTGCTGGCACTTTAGACAATGTATGTGACACAGTTGATTCCTGATCTGGATGCTCTTGGCCTGGCCTCACTCAAGCTCCTTGATTGACTTCACCTCAGTTCAGTTCAAATTGGCTGCAGACTCCTGAGTTTCTGTCATGTGTTCTGGCCCAGCAGTCTATAATACTGTGGCCTGTACTGCATGGCCACCACACCCTGGCACAGGGACCCTGTGGCAGGCACATGTTCTATGAGAACGGAGGGTGGCTCAGGAAAGCTAAACCTAGGCTCTCTCTTTGCCTAATCCTCTGATTTGCAGCCAAGGATGTGGCCATACTACAAGTTGGTTGTGGAGGCCAAAGAAATGATTTCTTTTCAGAATCTTAGAGAAAGAATCCGAAGACAGGAGTCTCTTTTTCCTGCCCTCAGAGTTACCCTTACATACTTGACTCACTTCTTTTTTTCTCCTACCAATACCCAGAAAAAGAAGAGGCAGAAAAAGGAAAATTGGGACACCTTCTGGCCTTTTCACTTTCCTAGCTTCCCACTTTTTCTTATTTTTCCCAGCATCTTTTACTTTGTACCATCTTTTACTAGTACCCCAGCCGCATATTATTTGCCCTTTTTTTTTTTTTTAAACCATTCAGCACCAAACTTTTTGCTTCATTGTCATGAGCTAAAGAGAAAAACTCTGTGAGCTGGGTCTTCCATGATTTGATATACTAGACAAAGAAAGTGATAAAGGTATTGTTTTGCTGCATTATCCTATTTTGAGTGTCAGTATTTGAATATTACCTGTCATTTACTTTATATTCCTTCTGTAATAATTCTAATTGCATAAGCAGGTCAGTGCCTCATGTTAATTTTTTAAAATGTTAACTCCTTTAGATAATTCAAAATTACTTATTACTGTGGAATCAAGTAGTTGAAATATCTAGAATACTAAGATTAGGAAGTTTTACGTAAAAGTCCTTAAGTTCCAATAATGATTAAATAAGTAACTCAAATCAGTCCTCCCACTGAGAGCAAACTAGAAAAGGTGGCCAAATTAAAAAAAAAAAATCTGTTTTAAGGCACTAGAGATCTTTAAAGGCAATGAAGAATTTGGGGGCTAAGATATAGAAGAATGAAACCCAGAGAGGTCTCATGTTTGAGGCCATTTTTTCCCTAGAGATATCCTTTAGTTTGAGAAGAAGCAGTTGAAAAGCTGATTAGATTTTTCAACAGTCTTATAAGACTAAAAGGACAAAACTTAGACTGTAGGGTTTGCTGAGGAGGGTTCCCTGGGAAACCTCCCACATTTTAGGTTGGGATCTTGAAGGAGTAAGAATGAACTAGAAATAGACCAGTTCTCAAAGGGACTAAATCTCAGCTTCAAAATGCTTAACTCTTGATTCTAGCATGGTGTTCTAGGGTTGCTAGCGTCCCTAGCTACCAGCAGGAAGAAAATATAAATTCTCCCTAGAGAAAGGTAACATCCAGAACCTCAAATTATTTCTATTAATTTTTCAAATGCAGTTTCAAGCAGCCAATTAAAAATAAGCAGGCATCACAACATTGTAAATCAACTATATGTCAATAAAATAAATTTAAAAATAAGCAAGCATATCAAATTATGTGATTGAAAATCAAGAAAAATAAAAGCCAATAGAAACAGACCCACAGAGGGTTTAGATAATGGATCCATCAGACAAGGACTTTAAAGTAACTATATTTAATGTATTCAAGGAAATTAAAGATAAGATTGAGAATTTTGGCATACAACTGGAAACTATAAAGAAGAAGCAAATGAAAATTCTAGAACTGAAAATGCAATAACTAAAATTAAGTCAATAGGGGAGTTTAATGGCATGTTAGATGCAGTTGAAGAGAGAATTAGTGACTGGATGATAGGTCAGAAGAAAATTCAGACTGAAGCATGAAGAGACAAAAAGGATGAAAAATACAGAAAAGAGCATGTGAGAGAGTATTTGCAAAGATGACCATGTTAACTCCTCCCATCCCTATATACACACCTTTTTATTTTTTACCGTATGAGGGCCTCTCGCTGTTGTGGCCTCTCCCGTTGCGGAGCACAGGCTCCAGACGTGCAGGCTCAACGGCCATGGCCCACGGGCCCAGCCGTTCTGTGGCATGTGGGATCCTCCCGGAGCAGGGCACGAACCCGTGTCCTCTGCCTCGGCAGGTGGACTCTTAACCACTGCGCCACCAGGGAAGCCCTACACACCTTTTTATAGTATGATTTTGCCTTCTTCCCATCAAGAAATAGTCTTTTTTTTCCCATCCTTTGAATTTTGGTTGGCCTTGTGACTTGGGTTGACCAATAGAATGTGGTAGAAATGGTGTGCAAGTTCCAAAGCCTAAACTGCAAGTGGTCTTGTAGTTTCTGCCATTGCCCTTTTGGAATGAGCCTTAGACTTGCCTTGTGAAAAGCCCAGTTCAGCCTTCTGGAAAAGAGAGGCCACACAAAGCAAAGATGAGTTATCCCAACTGAGGCTTCCTAGACCTGACAGTCACCAGCACCTTTGAGACATGTAAGTGAGGCCACCTTAGACCATCCAACCCCAGTCAAGTTGCCAGATGACTAACTACATGAGTGGCTCCAAGCCAAGATCAGCAGAAAAACTGCCCAACTGAGCCCAGCTCAAATTGCTGTGAGCAAAAAAAAAGGTCAGCATCCTAAGTCACTAAATTTTTGGTGGTTTGTTAGGCATCAATGGATAACTGACCCAGAAATTGTTACCTAAAGGTGTAATACTGCCCTAACAAAAAAGTAAAATATGTGGCATTGGCTTTGAGACTGGCTCATAGGTGGAGGCTGGAAAAATGGTAAGGTGGTTGTTAATGTTAATGAAGGCTGGAAGAATGGTGAACAAACTTTTAGTGCAGGATGGAAAGGCAATGAGGGAAAAGGTAACCCATGCTCTGTAATGATGGAACAATTACCTGAGGTAACTTGGAAGGTAGAGACTGTATTTAGTGAACTTGTAGACCTAGTTAAGGAGATCTTTTTAGATAAAGTGTTAACAGTATCTGCTGAATGCTTTTGGTTGCTTTTGCTAAGGAACTATAAAGAGGGATGAACTAAAGAAGGTGTTTCAAACTTGTTGAGTTTGAAAATATAACTGTTTCTCATTCCCAATCTCTCCAGCTGGCAAAAGATTTTCAAAGTAAAAAATGACTTCAGAGTAAAGACCAAATCAAGAGTGCCTAGGAGATCCTTTAAGACCTCAGAAATATTTAAGACAGTACCTGGTAGATTACTCTCTCAGCTAGAAAAAAAGGGCTTCTAAGAATTTTAAAGATGTTGTCCCACAGCAGCCTGACAAACCTGAGGTACAGAGAGGTCTGTGCAGAAAAGTTATGGATGTGTTTTTGGCGCAAGTAGTGAATTTCCAATATGATTCATAGGAAAACCACAACGTTTTTGAGAGACTTCTGTTGATAAATGCACCAAAGGGACTAAAGGGACAGAGACAGTTCAGACTTCAAAGAGGCCTCTAGGACTTCGATTTTCTATGAATAGGAAGCAGACTGGAAAAGTTGTTCAGCTGTAAACATTAGTAATTTCTAATAATAAAAAGATTTTTCAGATTGTGGAGCCAGGAGCCCAGAGGGCAGCTAAGAGCAGAGGGGATCCATGGATTAGGAAACCACTCACAGGGAGCAGAACAAGACCATAGTAAAAAACAGCAAACAACAAAAAAAATTCCATGCCCCTGGAGTAAGGGAACCTCACAACATCTGCCTGTCCAGATTTCAGAATTGTTGGGGACCAGTGACTGCTATGTACCTCCTGTCCTTTCTTCTTTGAATAGGAGTATCTTTTACAGTTATTCTCTCCCCATCTCATCATTAAATGTTGGGGGTGTTGGGGGCAGATAACTTGTCTTTTTAGTTCCCAGATCTTTGGATCAAGAGCACCTGAGGAGCTGCACCCAAGGAGTCTCTTTTGCTTGTGGACATGACTTATGAGAAAATGGACCTCAAGCCTGATGCCATGATTGGATGACTTTGGGGGTCTTGGGAGGGGGTGAGTCTATTTTGCATGTGGGAGGTATGTGAATTATTGTGGCCAGAGGGCGGACCATAGTAGATTGTTTGCAGCGATGGCCGCAATAACCTCTCCTGTTCTTGAATGTATATCCCTTTGCAATGTGACTTTGCCTTTCCTCCCATTAAGAGGTGGCATCTCTTTTCCCACCCCTTGAATCTTAGCTGGCCTTGTGGCTTGCTTAGACCATTAGAATATGGCCCAAATGGTATTGTGTAAGTTCTAGAGGCTAGTGCTTGTGAAGCCTTGCAGCTTCTTCCCTCACCCTTTGCTTGGAACACTGCATTGAAGAAACCTGGTCTAGCCTACTGGAGGATGGAGGCCACATGCAATAGAGATGAGCTGTTCCAGTCAAGGCTCTGTAGACCTACTGGCCAACAGTCAACACAAGTCAGCAGACATTTGCATGAGACCATTCAGCCCCACTCGAGCCACCAGATGATGATATGCACATGAATGACTACAGCAAGACCAGAAGAACTGCCCAGATGAGCACAGCATCATGAGCAAATAAAATGGTTGGTGTCCTAAGCAAGCCACTGAGTTTTGAGGTAACTTGTTATATAGCAAAACAAAGCATAAGAGATACAGAGCATAAAAGACAGTGAAATGATCTAACGTGTACTTTGAGTCTCAGAAGAGAAGAGAGAGAAAATGGAGCAGAAGCAATGTTTGAAGAAATCATGGAGCAGAAGCAATATTTGAAGAGACAATGGCTAAGAATTTTTCTGAACTAATGGCTAAGAATTTCCTGAAAAGATACTAAGCACAGATTCAAAAAAACACTATGAGCCCTGCAAGGAGAAGTACAGAGAAAACCATATCTAAGTTTATCAGAGTAAATCTGCCACTCCACTCCCCTAAAAAGACAGAGAAAAGAGAAAATCCTAAAGCAGCCGGGAAAAAAAGATTACTTTCAAAGGAGTAACAGTAAGATTGATAGCTGACATCTCAGTAGAAACAGTGGAAACCAGAAAACATTGCGGTATCTTTAAAGTGCTGAAAGAAAATAATAGCTAGTGTCGAGTTCTGTATCTAGTGACAGTATGCTTCAAAACTGAAGATGAAAGTCCTTTGACTACAACAATACTGTATATAATGTAATGTGAACCAGGAAAGTATCTAGTCTAGAACAAGTTGTACATTTGGTTGTTTGGAATTGATGGCAATATTTTGCCCTTTTGTGGAATTTGTGTGTGTGTGTGTTCAAAATATTTGTTCTTTGCCCTTGTAACACACTGGATGTTCATACATTTTTGTATTTATCAGTTAATATTTGTTATATAACTAAGAATGCAGTATCTTTAAGAAGGATGAGAGCATGAACTATATTTTATTTATTTTTGTATTTCTAATAATTAACATGGTCCCTGACACTTCTAGGCATCTGCCTGTTGAAATGGAAGGAGCTTATCAAGATAGAAAAAGTGCTTACCACTTAAGAATTTGTTCTATTTCCTTTTCTAATATAGGTTCAAGCTGAAGTCCCTGGATCTCCTATCTTTGTGATGAGACTAGCCAAACAATCTCGTCATCTGGAGGTGCAGATCTTAGCAGATCAGTATGGCAACGCTATCTCTTTGTTTGGTCGTGACTGCTCTGTACAGCGCAGACATCAGAAGATTATTGAAGAGGCACCTACTGCTATTGCTACTCCAGCAGTATTTGAGCATATGGAACAGGTATGTATATGAAAAGCTCTAATTTTTGTTTTCTTACACAGAACTACTACTCATTTAATTCATATGCCAATCTGAGAATAGTGGAATTTCAAGCGGTGGTTCTGGATAACTGATAAGTTATATCCTTTTCCTAGAGGAAAAATAAAATAAAAATTCTGCTATTCTCCCTCTAGTAGAGATACCAGTGAACACTTCAAACTCTAAATTAGTTAATGCTTTTGACAAAAAATCAGTGTACTATTTTGAATAGGGATAATGAAGAGAAATGTTTTGGGATTTTTTAATCGTATTGTCTGGTTCTTTAACAAGCTCATGGTAAGCAGGTAGTTGCATTTTCTAGATTGATTATCCTTTAGTCTTAAGATGAATTTATTCAAGTCTATTGTCTCTTAAAAGTTCCTCTAAGTATCTTTAAAATTTACATAGTCTGTATTTTTGTATGGAAAATAATCTCTCAGCAGTTTTACAGGGTCCCTTGGAAATAGCTGTAGTTTAGGAGTCTGAACATGGTCTTTTCTGGAACCTTGACTCAATCTTCATCTTTTTGGAGATATGTTTTCCATCCTTTTTCTCCTTGATTCCAAAGAAGCTGAATATATGGTCATCTGTGTTTTAAGTTTAATTTCTACGTGTGTGTGTGTGTTTGTGTGTGTATTAAGATTGATTCTTTAACTACCGTAGTAAAGAGGCCTCCAAAATACAGTGGCTTAAATAAGGTGCAATTTCTATTTCTCTCTCTCATCATAGTTCAGAGATGAGCTGGTGCCAGGGACCCCGGTTTACTGCTTTGCTATTACTAGGAGGGGAGTCAGCAAACTACAACTGGCAGGCCAAATCCAACCTGCCACCTATTTTTGCAAATAAAAAATTTTTTTTTCTGTTTCGTATTTTTTTAAAAATATTTATTTATTTATTTATTTTACTTTTGGCTGCATTGGGTCTTCATTGCTACACGTGGGCTTTCTCTAGTTGTGTCGAGTGGGGGCTGCTCTTGGTTGCAGTGCGTGGGCTTCTCATTACAATGGCCTCTCCTGTTGTGGAGCATGGGCTCTGGGTGCGTGGGCTTCAGTAGTTGCAGCACGTGGGCTCAGTAGTTGTGGTTTGCAGGCTTTAGAGCACAGGCTCAGTAGTTGTGGCACTCGGGCTCAATTGCTCCACGGCATGTGGGATCTTCCTGGACCAGGGATCGAACCCATGTCCCCAGCACAGGCACGCGGATTCTCAACAACTGTGCCACCAGAGGAGTCCCTGTAAATAAAATTTTATTGGAACACGGCATGCTAATTTATTTATGTATTATCTATGGCTGCCTTATCACTGCAGTGACAAAGTTGAGTAGTTGTGACAGAGACTATATGGCCCACACAGCTGAAAATAATTATTATCTGGCCCTTACTGAAAAAGTTTGCCAACCCTTGTCCTAGGGTGTCATTACCTTATGATTAAAGCTAGCTCACAAGAATATGTTCACACTGTAGCCTGTGGGAGGGGGAAGAGAGGACTTGGAAGGCAAGCATATAAAAATATGAGCCAGAAGTCACACATATTACTTCTGCTCACTTTTCACTGGACAACATTCAGTTACACAATCACACCTAGCTGCAAGGGATGTCAGGAATTGTAGTCACTAGCTGGGTGGCCATATGCTCAGCTGAAATTCAGGAGATTCTATTACTAAATGGATGACGCAATGAAAAATTACTGGAGGGCATTTAACAATCTGTGTCTGCTGCTCTGGCTACCCATTATCCTTTCACACCCTTTTTGTCACTCTTGCAACATTCTTAGCCTTTCCCCAAAGAAGACAGCCCAAAGTCTCACCTAGTTACTATATTCAGCCCAAAGTCCAACTCTCTAGGTAATGTACAGTCCTCTCTGTTATATGTACATGTGGCTTTGTATGGGCCAGTGACCTAGAATACAAGTTACCTACCCCTTGTGATTCCTCCTTTCGCCATATACAGTGGTGGAGTAGGAACAGGATAACTCCCATTTGGTAAAAAGAAGAATGAAAAATAGGCAATAATCACTGATCCATAGCAGTTATCAAATTCTTCTAGGTAGGAATTGTGGTGATTTCCTGTCATGTGGTGGAGTAATACCTCAATTAGCCCTCTGGCTGCCCCTGGTTCTGCTCTCTGGAAGTAAATTCTTTGCCCGTCATTCCTCAAGGCACCGTTAAGGCCTTTTTCTCTGGGAAGTTCTTCCTTGTTCACGGTCCTCTATGATTGAGCTTTGGAGACCATGCTTTCTTTGGCAGAGCTTTCACCACTCACTTCCTGCTGGTGCAGGGTTGGGGCCACACAGATGACTGTGATTATCAATCATGGGTTTTGAAAGCCAGATTTGTGGTTTGTTTAGAAATACAATTCCTTCAAAACTTAGTAAGTTTCTGGACTCTTTGCTTCTATTCAGCTTCAGGTAGGAGTAACCACACTCAAGATTTCTGGACATAGTAACTTTTCCTCTTTATTTACTTCCTTCTGTGTTCAGCCCTCTTTCTCTCCTCAGTTCAGTACTAACTACCTTGAGGCCAGCTGATACTGAAGCAGCCCCCTTGACTTGATCTTTGGCACTGGGTTGCTTCAGGGTGAGAATCTAATCTTCTGGTTTGGGGATACAAAGGCATTTGGTTTTTTTCACATTCTGACTTTTTCTAACCGCTTTTCTTAGGGCTTAGTTGGTGTTTTGTCCGCATTCCAAGTTATTGTAGGAGACAGTTTCCCAAATGTTTTGTTATGCCTAACAAGGAGGCCACCAGTTTTCCGGTCTGCAGCATCTGTTTCCTTGAGAGCTGCTACCCTGTTGTTAAGTCAGTATCACACGCTTTAATTTTTTTAAATATCAGCATCCTACCTGAATTTAATAGTTTCTGTATTGATTAGGGTACAGGTTAAGCTATTGCAATAAAGAGATCCAAAAAAATACAACCACGCAATAGGATAGAAACCATCTTGGGATTCAGGTTCTTTCTGTTTTGTTTTGTCATTCTTAGTATGTTCTCATCTGCATGGTGAAACGGGCTTGCACTGTCATGACCATGTTCTAGTCCATAGAGGGGAAAAGCCAGGAATAGAGGACAAGCAATTCCTTTTCAAAATGTCATTCAGGGATTATGCATATCACTCACCAATGCTGACGTTGCATTGGTTAAAACTTAGTCAGTTGCTTTAAGGGAGGGTAGAAAATCTAGTCTCTAGCTGGACAGCCATGTTTCTAGGAAGAATTTCTCGTATTCTAGGAAGAATACTAGAAATACTAGGAACAAGTGTACAATGCAGAATCTCCCATGGTGTTTTAATCAGAGAGGGTGAAATTCACTCATGTGGCTAAAAGCCTTTATAAACACTGGCTCTTTGAGAGGGAGAAGCTATAGATAAGTAGTAGCCCATCAGCTGGACAAGGTGACATACTTATGTTGCCTTATCTTTCTTCTTTGAGTGTGCGGTGAAACTTGCCAAAATGGTTGGTTATGTGAGTGCTGGGACTGTGGAATACCTCTACAGCCAGGATGGCAGCTTCTACTTTCTGGAACTGAACCCTCGGCTACAGGTGGAGCACCCTTGTACAGAGATGGTGGCCGATGTCAACCTCCCTGCGGCACAGCTCCAGGTGAGTCACCCTGCTCTTGATCAGAGAGTTGCTTACAGAAGTTTGGAATGTCAGAGATCCCTGCACAACTGGTTCAAGCAGCGTCTGTTAAGAGAAGCCGCCTCTTATCTGAGTCTCGTGTAATGTTCATCTCTTGCACTCTATGGCTTGGGATGTGTGGGTTGGTTTTCCTGATATGGTACAAATCTAGGAATATTATTATTTTTTAGCCAGACACATCTGATATAAAATGTCATATATCAGAAAGAAACTTCACAAATAATATGCTTTACTCAGTTGTTGAAATTATAGGAAACCTTACAAACATCGTAATTGTCCCCTACTCCTTTTTCCTAGTGTTCTAAATTGAAGCAATTCCACCTTAGAGTGGTGGCTGAGGTTATTCATGGCAAGAGTGTGGCAGCACACATTTATTTTTATAATGTTTAAAGTGCTGGCTGTCAATATTATTTTCTCCATTCAGCCCAGGAAACAAATGCTATGGGAAGCAGTAATAGTTCATGATGAAGTTTGATATTATTTGTAACTAATATATTCTTTGCCCACATTGGGAACCCCTTCTGGTCCCCAGTGGTCCCTGTTAAGGAACCCAGTAAATAAAGATTTATATACTTTCTCCAGTGGTTTGTGGCAATAATTATGAAGTAATTATGACATAGTTAGGACTTTTTAGCTGTCTGAACTTGGAGAGCCACTGACACTGACTCTTCCCTTGGGTATTTTCATTCTGATCCCTTGATGGGGAAATGACAATTAGATGGAAGCTCATGTCTATTGCATTAGGGATTGGGGGACTTTTTAAGGAGTGGGGAGTATTTAACACCTTACGTGTGTTTTGTTTCAAGTAACTTAGAGTCACATATTCAATGATGTAGGATGCAGGCTATAAAAATAGGGTGTTTTAGGTGGTGGCTACTGAAATGAGAAATCTGATAGCTTCCACATTTTAAGGCAAGTAACTGTGAAAAATGAGTGATGTGTGTTTTATTACCTTTCAGATTGCCATGGGGATCCCTTTGTACAGAATCAAGGATATCCGTATGATGTATGGGGTATCTCCCTGGGGTGATGCTCCCATTGATTTTGAAAATTCTACTCATGTTCCTTGCCCAAGGGGCCACGTTATTGCTGCTCGGATCACTAGTGAAAATCCAGATGAGGTAACCCATCACTTAAAAGGTTTACACTTTCTTTTTCCCTGTGAACTTTAATATTAAGATGCTATCTGAGGGCATATCTGAAATATCTTGGGACTTCCTCTGGAGAAGGAAATTCATAGAGGCTTCATCAGAGCAGACAAATAAGTAATCACTGTTCCATCGGTCATTTAGACCTATTTAGTCACTGTAGAGTCCTCAGTGCGTCTGTAGCACTGGACATTGGCTCGCAAGCCTTTATGATTTTTGTGTATCATTTCTGCTTTTGTGTGTGTGTGATTACACAGAACCTGAACAATGAGTATATGAACGTTCTCTTCCTTGGAAATATAATATCATCTCATATTCTTCATTCTCTAACAGGGTTTTGTTTTGTTTTGTTATTTTTTTGATTTAAAAAAGTTATTGCATGTAGTTAATTTACAATATTACGTTAGTTTCAGGTGTACAACATAGTGATTCAGTATACTCCATTTTAAGTTATTATAAAATACTGACTATAGTCCCTGTGCTGTACAATACTCCTGTAGTTTATTTATTTTATATATAGTGGTTTGTACTTCTTAATCCTCTACCCCTATATTTCCTTTCCTTCCTTCCTTCTCCCTCTTGTTAACCACTTGTTTGTTCTCTATATCTGTGAATCTTCTAATAGGGTTTTAAGCCCAGCTCAGGAACAGTTCAGGAACTGAATTTCCGCAGCAATAAGAACGTTTGGGGCTATTTCAGTGTTGCTGCTGCAGGGGGACTTCATGAATTTGCTGATTCTCAGTTCGGTCACTGCTTTTCCTGGGGAGAAAATCGAGAGGAAGCAATTTCGTGAGTAAAATAGCATTTGATTGCATTTCAGGGAATAAACTTGTGCTAATCTTCAATGAAGGTGTGAGCATGGGAATGGGAATCATGTATTGCTATAAAAGTACTAATATGAATAACCTTCTTGAAGAAATATGTCTTTGACTGTACTTACATTCATGTTGTATTAAATTTATTCAGTGTTTGGCAGATGTTTTTCTGTCTGTTGCCCTGAGCCTTTTCAAGTATTTTTGCTTTCAATGTTTTTAATAAACTTATAAAATTGATTGCTTTAAAGATACCATATTTTTCTGTAGAAATGGTGTTGTCATTTGGGGGTGGAGGTAGATTCTTGTCCAAGAACTTGACATATGTCAGAGATAAGACCTGTTATTTGTCATCAAAATAAAGGTATAGCTGTAAATGTCCCGTAGCCATTTAAAATAATAAAATGAAACTGCTTATTACATGAAAAGGGCATAAGGGGACTGTCCACATTGCTTATATGAGAGACCTCAGTGAGCTATGAAATATACACACAGCATATAATATAACTGGTATATCATAATTATTAGTTAATACTCTATTGAGCGTAAACATTAAATATTTAATAGCAGTTTTGCTTGCCTGAAAAGTAGGGCTCTAGGAGGTAATTTTGACAGGTTAGATATTTTAGAAGATCTATCCAAAATTGATCTAGCTCTGTTTTTTAATTGTCTATTTACTTGAACCAAGCATTTAATACTATTCCTTTGACCTTTAAACTGCACACATAGATTGTGTAATCAGTAAGTATTTATTAATAATGTTGGTTTTTGATAATGGTTTCAGAAGTTGGGAAATCTCAATTTTTCTCTGTTTTGCCCTCTACAACTCTTCCCACTTATTCAAAACTATAAGTGGAGTTTTCAGAGTTAAAGCAGTGCTACCAGAAAAACCATCTGGTATAAAAGTTGCCTTTTTTTTTCTTCCACAGTCCTATCTGCTTTGCCAAAGTGAAGAAGGTTTACACTAGGGCTTGCAAATTGGTGGCTTTCCGACTAGTCACAGCCACAGATGTGTTTTGATTGTCTTGTAGAGTGTTAGTATTTTTAAATCACCAATATTTAAAAATTGGGAGATTGAAATAAATACATGGATTTCTGTCTTCCCTTAAAAAAACAGGATGATGGTTGGTTTTATATTCCACTTGGCAAAAGTTAACTGAAGCTTTGTGTGACTGCTTCTTTTAGAAGAAACACGAACTCTCTAGTTCACACAGCTCCCATCCAGTCTGCCTCACTCATTTACATCCCCAGAGTGGCCGCTATTGGTATTTAGGTTTCCAGTCCTGATTGCCACGCCACTGAGCACTCTCTACAGGACATGTCTTATGACCTGCTCCAAAAGCCTTGCTCCTTACTTCCTGACCTGCTCTGTACATTTCTCTACAGCGTAAAGCTACCAGGTTAATGTTTAGCATATGAAAATTATGGTCTCTACAATAAGCTTGCCCTTTTCTTTGGCCGCGCTTTGTGACACGCGGGATCTTAGTTCCCCGACCAGGGATCGAACTCACACCCCCCTGTAGTGGAATCGCAGAGTCTTAACCACTGGACAGCCAGGGAAGTCCCTAAACTTGTTTCTTAACACCATGCTAAAGTTCATTCTTCAGCTCAGAGTTTGTTTCTTCTTTCTTCATTATATTAGGTCTATATTCTTCTGCTTGGTGTTCATATTCTTCTCCATAATAGCCCCAACCCATATTTCCCACAGACTGTAATCTAAATACCATGAGAACAAGACTGTGTCTGTCTTGTTGCTGCTGTGTCCCCTGGACATAGTAAGCATTCAGTAGATGTTTGTTGGATGAATGGACTTGCCCCTCATTCCTGTCCTCATACTCTGCTTCAATCATAACATTCCCTGAACACAACCCCTAATTTATTTCCTTTTTCCCTTTGTTCTTGCTACTCCTTCTGTCCATCCATTCATTCACTCCATTCAACAAATATTTACTGAATATCTAAAGGCTCTGACAATATAATGAGGATCAACATAGGGTCTGTGCCCTCATGGAACTTTATGATCCAGAGTAAGAGAGGCAAATAAGCAATTGAACACAGTGTAGGAAGTGCCATCTCTGATAGTGGGATTACATAAGGGTGTTATGGGAGCGTAGAGCTGAGTCAGCTAACTCAGTCCAGAAAGGGTCAGGGAAGGTTTCGCAAAAGGAAGTGACATCTAGATTGATATCTGAAATATGTATAGGAATAAGCCAGGCTGAGATAGGGCATAGAGAGGAGGGTAGAGGTGGGAAACAGAATAATGTTCTAGGCTGAGAACTCCTGGACCACTTGGAAGAATATTTCTGTCACAGTCATAATCCCAGTTTAACTTTTATCCCATTTCAGATCCCGCATTCTTTTTCTTTTTTTTAATTGAAGCATAGTTAATTTACAATATTGTATTAGTTCAGGTGTACAGCAAAGTGATTCAGTTATATATATATATTTTTTTCAGATTATTTTCCATTATAGGTAATTACAAGATACTGAATGTAGTTCCCCATGCTATTCAGTAAAAACATGTTGCTTATCTATTTTATGTATAGTAGTAGTTTGTATCACTTAATCTTATGTTCCTAATTTATCCCTCCCCCCTCCCTTTCCCCTTATGGTAACCATAAGTTTGTTTGCTATGTCAGGTCTCACATTCTTTATGAAATCATAGGGAGGTGGATTTTCTCCCCTCTTAGAACCGCTCCATACTTTGCTTATATCTCTCTACTGGTATTTATGATATTATGTCATATATATATATATTTTGTGTGTGTGTGTGTGTGTGTGTGTGTGTGTGTGTGTGTGTGTGGTACGCGGGCCTCTCACTGTTGTGGCCTCTCCCGTTGCGGAGCACGACCTCTGGACGCGCAGGCTCAGCGGCCATGGCTCACGGGCCCAGCCACTCCGCGGCATGTGGGATCTTCCCGGACTGGGGCACGAACCCGTGTCCCCTGCATCGGCAGGTGGACTCTCAACCACTGCGCCACCAGGGAAGCCCTGTCATATATTTTTAAAGTGATTATTGTCTCCACATTCTCTCTCCCTTAAGAGTCTAGTATGTGTCTTGAGTCTGTGAGATGCATAATAAATATTTGTTGAAGTAGGGACCTGCCCTGTTCAGCATAACACTGGGCAGAAATATACAGGGAAAAACCCCATGGTATTTGAAATTTTGTTAAAGTTAGATAATTTAACACTTAATTGGAAAGTAATCAAAGTAATGAGCAAGTCATTCCACAGATGGCTAAAATGCAGCTTAAAAAAAAACACCAGTCTCACATGCAGTGTCAGGCTAATACCTGACTTTCCCCAGCCAGTTAACCTCCATTGTATGGAAACCTTTAAATTAAGGCATTAGTGTTTGTAAAAATTCACTGAACAGTATACTTAAGTATATTTTATTAAATGTAAACTTTACCTAAATAAACTAAAAAAGGTGTAAGGAGGAGAGAATTATGCCCTAATTCTTGTTAGCCAGCAATAGATGAATGGAATGATGGGAACAGTGAAAACTGGGTGCTTTGCGGATAATTTGTTCTGTATTCCGTATAATAAAATATATGTGATCTACTGATGCTCTTATGGTAATATTAATCAGACTCGTAAGTTTGCTGACTTCTTGAAAATTCTATCTGGAATGAGCACATATATATCTGCACCCTCATTTGTTCTTGGAACTGTCTGTCTCTCTCCCCCGCCTCCTGAAACTCTAAAGGAATGAAACAATTCTTGAAAATTATTGAAAAACACTAGAACATTTGTTGCTGAAACAGATCTGCTTCTATCCTTCTCCCAGAAATATGGTGGTGGCTTTGAAGGAACTATCTATCCGGGGCGACTTTCGAACTACAGTCGAATACCTGATCAAATTGTTGGAGACTGAAAGCTTTCAGATGAATAGAATTGACACTGGCTGGCTGGACAGACTGATAGCAGAAAAAGTACAGGTGTGTATTTCTCCACTTACACAAACAGCTTCTGGGATTGGGTTTTTATAGGCTTGTGGTGTGATCAGTCCATGCCGCTAGATAAAATTTATTTGATTCTAATCTGAATCGTTCTTGGTCTACGTGGAAAAATCTAGGAGTCAGTGTGATTTTAGCACTGTAAGAGTTCTTGTGCCTGTGTTACACAGTCACCTTATAGGTTGTAGTATTATTTCCAAGGGTATGTTTGAAGAGAGGCACGCAGGGATTGAAATACTTTCTCTTTCCTCACTTGATGTTAAATCTGGTTCAGAGTTACCAACTTTTACATCTATCTACCAAGCACTGATGAGAGGGTCCTCATTTTAATCAACAGAAGTTACCCTTTGTTCCTGAATCGCTGGGCTAATATAAATTACTCAAGATTTTGTATAAAATTGTTAGATTCATGTAAATTAGCTGGAGGTCCAAATTTTGGTTATACACCATTTTTCCTTGAGATTATTAGTAGCCAAATCTTTGTACCTTTTGAAGTTTATTTGTGACAAAAGCTTGTTTTTGAGCTACGCTTCGATTGGCTCAGTGGAAATCTTAGGGAGGGTGGAGGGAAAGGTGTTTTTCATCTCTATTCAAATGAGACCTCTATTCAGATTCTAAAAATAAATGTGTTTTTGTCTCAAAAATCAGTTGGGGGCTTCCCTGGTAGCACAGTGGTTAAGAATCCGCCTGCCTATGCAGGGGACACGGGTTCGAGCCCTGATCCAGGAAGATCCTACATGCCACGGAGCAACTAAGCCCGTGTGCCACAACTACTGAGCCTGTGCTCTAGGGCCCGCGAGCCACAACTACTGAGCCCGTGTACCACAACTACTGAGCCCGTGTACCGCAAGTACTGAAGCCTGCACACCTAGAGCCCGTGCTCTGAAACAAGAGAAGCCACCACAGTGAGAAGCCCGCACACCACAATGAAGAGTAGCCCCTGCTCACCTCAACTAGAAAAAGCCCACGTGCAGCAACGAAAACCCAATGCAGCCAAAAATCAATAAATAAAATAAATAAAAATTAAAAAAAATACTTTTAAAAAAAGAGTAAATGTTAAAAAAAAGTCATTTGGACTATAAGGATGGAGACTCTCAATGGTAGCTGATTCTTCACAGCACATTTGAGCCTGATTTAAATTGAGGGGCCATGGTGCCAAGTGACCCTGCCATTGATCTGCTCTCTTTTCCTTCTTTTCAGGCAGAGCGACCTGACACCATGTTGGGAGTTGTGTGTGGGGCTCTCCACGTGGCAGATGTGAGCCTGCGGAATAGCATCTCCAACTTCCTTCACTCCTTAGAGAGGTAGGCTTTGCTTCTCATAGTCTGTGCAAGCTAACTAATGGTCCTGAGTGCAGGACTGAAGTTCAGAGGCCCATTTATTCTTCTCTCTGTTCCTGGCAGCTTGTGAGTGCTACTTGTTATTCACTGACCATGGAGGCAGGGGAGAGAAGGGATGTAGGAGTTTATGGCAAATGATTTTGGGGCTCTAAGGGCAGATTCTAGAAATTGGTTTGTACCACAGTTAGAATAGGTTGCTTTTTAAAAACTGGAGTCCAGCTGAAGTAAACATTCTGTTCTGTAAAGCATCAAATCTCTTCAAGCCCTGGTGATGAAAATCTGGTGTTTTACTCTAGCAAGGAACCCTGAATATTTCATATATGACTTGTAAAATTTCAGGAATTAATAATTGAGGCTGATATTCAAGATGACCTCATGAGTCTTTCAAGTATGTGTGGGGCTAAACTCATTTCCAACACTGGTTCTGAAGACTGAGCTCTGCCTTTGAGTCTCTGGAGGAATTGTCCACAAGGCCAATCATTTGATAGCACTTTAATCACAGGCACTTTAATTCTTTCTGTGTTGTTAGACTTACATCAGCTCCATTTTGAGGTGTCTGAAAGGAAGAAAAGAAACAAAATTTAAAAAATTGAACTGAGATTTCAGTTGTTCAAGTCTTACCATGAAAATCTTTCACTATGTTACACTTATGCACTAAAACCTTCATCAGCTCACATTTCCCTTCTGTATCAGATCTAAGTCCCTCAGAGTGACTTCCAACTCCCTATATACTATGGCGCCTTTTTACCACTCGAGCCATACTCATTTCTATTCTTCAGCATGCAATCTCTAACCTAGTTAAATGGTTTCCCTACTGGTGTACAGATATGTCACACGTAATCTCTCCTTTACGAGCTCCCCTTACCTTTTTAACGTTACTTTAAATTTATTTTTAAAACTTGTGTTTTGAAATAATTTCAGACTTATAGAAGAATTGCGTGAATAATACAAACAACTTCTATGTATTCTTTGTCCAGATCCACACATTATTAACAACTTGCCTCACTTGCATTTTTACTCCCTCCTTTCATTATTATCAAAGTCTTTCTTAAGAGAGAGTGTTTCTTTCCTTCCTTGGCAATGTCCTTCCCTTTCCCCTCCACCCAGCCATGGCCTACTGCCTTTATTTTTTAAGACCCCAAATAAAATTCAGTTCATAGGGGTAGATGAGGGTTGATTGCACTGGAGCTTTTCTCAAAATTTTTTTGTTTTAATTTTATTTATTTTTAATATATTCACATGGTTTAAAATTCAAAAGGCACAAAAAGGTATGTAGTGAAAGGTCTCCTTCTTACCTTTGTTCCCTGGCCACCCAGTTTCCTTCCCTGTAGTCAACCCAAGTTACCAGTTTCTGTCTGTAATCTTTCAGACATATGGTAAGTTATATAAGCATATATATGTAATATTTGTTTCTTCCTACCACCTATTTTTTTTAAACACAAGTGGTAGCATACTCTGAAGCTGTCCTACACAATTTCACCTGCTTTTTTCATTTAACAGTGTATTTTAGAGAGTATTTCACGTTAGTGCATAAAGGGCTTCATCTTTCTTTCTTAATGGCCGCATAATATTCCATTATATGGCTTTTTTGTAATTTATATATCAGTCCCTTAATGATGATGGTCCTTTAGGTTGTTTTCAGTCTTACTATTCAAGGAAATGCTATAACTGATAACCTTTGAGATTCCCTTATAAACTTTTAGAACTTTCTAGAAGTGTCTCTCACATTGTTGTTCTTTCAGGGGTCAAGTCCTTTCTGCTCATACACTTCTGAATACAGTAGATGTTGAACTTATCTATGAGGGAGTCAAGTATGTACTGAAGGTATGCTGAACCCCACTGAAGCCAACGTACTTTTTGCCTCTCTCTTTGTCAACCTGCTTCCTTTAGGTCAAGAGATGGGGTGAAAGTTTGGTTTACTGCAGGGCTGGGTGTTAGTGAAATTAGAGTCATTATTAGTGTCAGTAGCCTTGTGTCAAAGCAGTACTTTATGATTCTGAAAATGTTTTAGCTGTTGCTTAATTTCACATATGCAGCCAAGAGATAAAGGAGACAGAGAGCAACCAGAGCAGGGAGATGCATCTAAGGTCCCCCCTCTTTGCTTGCAGCAAGGCTGAGCCATGCCCACAGACACTAGTGTTCAGAGCACCAGTGCCATTAATTTCCTTCCTCTCTGGCAGAGCTTTCTTACCTAGATCTCTGAGATACCGAAATTTTGTCTGGGACTCCCCCTGGAAGGGACACACTGACTTGTCTCTTTGGGGTCTCATTTCCTACAGGTGACTCGACAGTCCCCGAACTCCTACGTGGTGATCATGAATGGCTCGTGTGTGGAAGTAGATGTGCATCGGCTGAGTGATGGAGGACTGCTCTTGTCCTATGATGGCAGCAGTTATACCACGTACATGAAGGAGGAGGTGGATAGGTGAGTGGCTGTTTAAGGTCCATTTGCTGGTCATTGTATCAGTCTTTTCTCTGAGTAGTCACTAACTCTTGGGATTTTTCAAGGTCTTTTTGTGGATTCTATTCTAATTAAAAAAAATAGTACATGCGCTTAACAAAAATTTCAAGAGTATTAAGAAGTATTTATAATTAAAAACATTGTCTCTGAGCTTCCCTGGTGGCGCAGTGGTTAAGAATCTGCTTGCCAATGCAGGGGACACAGGTTCGAGCCCTGGTCCTGGAAGATCCCACATGCTGCGGAGCAGCTAAGCCCATGTGCCACAATTAGTAAGCCTGTGCTCTAGAGCCTGCGAGCCACAACTACCAAAGCCCGCATGCCACAACTGCTGAAGCCCTGGCAATGAGAAGACTGTGCACCACAACGAAGAGCAGCTCCCACTTGCCGCAACTAGAGAAAGTCCGTGCTCAGCAACAAAGACCCAACGCAGCCATAAATAAATAAATAAATAAATGAACGAACGAACGAATGAATGAATTTTTAAAAATTGTCTCTCCGCCACTCCTGTGTGTGCAGACAATGAAAAATAAATTCCCCTTTTTATATGCTACCACTGTTAACAGTCTCATATGTTTTTGCAGAAATTTTGTATGTATATACAAGTTACATATATGTACATACTGTTTTTCTTTTAAATATATTCACAAATAAAAATAACATTTAGTTCTGTACCTTATTTTTTCCTTTAACATTTTTTATACTATTCAGCACCAATCATGCAGTGTGGCTGTGGTAATTAACTGAATTAACACATGGAAAGGTTGTAGAACATTGTGATATAGTAAGAGTTCAAAAAATGGTAGCTATTACATCAGCATTTTTTTTTCCTTGATGGAGGTACCTATTCTTTTTAATGGTCGTATATTATTCCATTATATGAATGTATCATAATTTATTTAATCTGACCCTTATTGAAGGAAATTTGGGTTATTTGGCATTGTAAACAAAGATGCAAGGGACTTCCCTGGTGGCACAGTGGTTAAGACTCCACGCTCCCAATGCAGGGGGCCCGGGTTGGATCCCTGGTCGGGGAACTAGATCCCACATGTGTGCTGCAACTGAGGAGCCCACCTGCCACAACTAAGGAGCCAGCAAGCCGCAAATATAGGAGCCCGTGAGCCGCAACTAAAACCCAGTGCAACCAAATAAATAAATATTTTTTTAAAAAAAGGATCCAATAAATGCTGTGTGTATGTGTGTGTGTGTGTGTGTGTGTTTGTGTGTGTGTGTGTAGAATGAAGTTTTCAGGGTTTTTTTTTAAGATTGACATTATCCTACCATTATCTTTTACAATTTGAGGTGATTTATTGACTTACATACTCCCACTTATCTCCTAGGTATCGCATCACGATTGGCAACAAAACCTGTGTGTTTGAGAAGGAAAATGACCCTTCGGTGATGCGCTCACCTTCTGCTGGGAAGTTAATCCAGTACATTGTGGAGGATGGAGGCCATGTGTTCGCTGGCCAGTGCTATGCTGAGATCGAGGTCAGGGTGGTGATTGGGCTTCCGGGCCATGGGAGGGAAGGTGGGACAAGAGTTGGCTGGAATTGACTAGGACTCAAGAGTAACAGAAAGGAAGTAGAAAATAGAAAGGGGAAGTGTCAGTAGCTGTTATTAATCCCTAAAGCTAGGTCCTAAGACATTTTATTTTCACTGTAGGTCATGAAGATGGTAATGACCTTAACAGCTGCAGAGTCTGGCTGTATCCATTATGTCAAGCGGCCTGGAGCAGCTCTTGACCCGGGCTGTGTAATAGCCAAAATGCAGCTGGACAACCCCAGCAAGGTCCAGCAGGTGAGTAGGAAGATACTTTTACTATTGCTCTCCAAGAGCTGATTACACGGTAACAGTAGTTTGGAAAGGCAAGTGATTTCAGTCCTTGGTTTTCCAGTTTTTCCTTAAGCTTTTTAGCCCGATCTTATGGCTTGTATGTGTGCCTTTGGTATTATGGAACTAGAATTTGTGAGAGTTATGATACTAAGATTCCGTGATTTTCCTTATGATGCTTCCTCCATTGACTTCTCTCCTTGTAGCTGGGTATGGTGAAGAGGAGTCTTGATTTTGCATGATGAATCTAAGTTGCAGTGGTGTGTTTGTACCCTGAATAGAAGGTAGTGGATGACTTGATCTCTCATTGGGATTGACAGGCTGAGCTTCACACAGGCAGTCTGCCACGGATCCAGAGCACAGCACTCAGAGGCGAGAAGCTCCATCGAGTATTCCACTATGTCCTGGATAATTTGGTCAACGTGATGAATGGATACTGCCTTCCAGATCCTTTCTTTAGCAGCAGGGTATGAATCACTTTTCTTGGGGAGGTGGTGTGGGGGAAGGCGTATACATAATAGGGTACCTGTTCTCTAAGATAGTTTAAAAGTCACGTAAGGATTTTTTTTTCAGAGGGAGAAAAAGAAAGCTGTTTGATCCGAAACTCTCCCACCGTTAGCTGTGGGATTTGAAGTCTTTAAATCCTTGCTTCTTATCTCTGTTATTGACTTCGCATTTAATTGGGATTTAAACCAGAGAATAAAGACAATGTTAGGTGCTTATATTGCAATTTCAAAGTAAGTACAGGCATACCTCGGAGATATTGTGGGTTTGGTTCCAGACCACCGCGATAAAGCATGTATTACAAGAAAGCAAGTCACATGAATTTTTTGGCTTCCCAGTGCATAGAAAAGTTATGTTTACACTATAGTCTATTAAGTGTGCAATAGCATTATGTCTAAAAATTTATGCCTAAATTAAAAAATGCTCTGTTGCTAATAAATGCTAACCATCATCTGAGCCTTCATTGAGTTGTAATCTTTTTGCTGGTGGAGGGTTTGAAACAGTGCAAGAATTACCAAAATGTGACACAGAGACATGAAGTGAGCAAATGCTGTTGGAAAAATGGTGCCCAACACAGGGTTTTACAAATTGAAATTTGTAAAAAATGCAAGATTTGCGAAGTGCAATAAAGCAATGCACAATAAAGCACGGTACGCCTGTACTATATGGTAGTGAATTCAGATATTTTATTTGGGGGATTGTGTTAATTTTGTCTGGTTCCTATTTTATTATTTCCTTCTTCTCAGGTAAAAGACTGGGTTGAACGGTTGATGAAGACCCTCAGAGATCCCTCCTTGCCTCTCCTAGAACTGCAAGATATCATGACCAGTGTCTCTGGTCGTATCCCCCCCAATGTAGAGAAGTCTATCAAGAAGGAAATGGCTCAGTATGCTAGCAACATCACATCAGTCCTCTGTCAGTTTCCCAGCCAGCAGGTATCTATAGAGTAACACTGTCATTTTCTACTGGCTGCCCATGCTAGAGTTCATGTTGTAGGATTCCTTCCTGTTTGGATCCTCCTTACTGTCTGGATGTTGTGCTTTTGAAGTTTTAAGCATTGTGCCCTTTACAAAACTGCTTCATGATACAAGCCCAATAAGGTAAGTACTGTGTGTGAAATGTAAAGTATCTGTAGTTAAGAGGAAAGCATATTGGCCATGTATCCCGTAGAGTTTTGTTCTTGGGGCTGTGCCTTAATTAGAAGTATTTTTGTGAATTTAAAGTAGGCAGATATTTGTAGTTCTATCATCAGAGACTTCCTTACTATCTCAGCAGCATACTTATTACCCTTTGCTTTCCTATTTATCATGAATGGGCCCCTAAACTATACCAGGTTACTTGCAGCTACTCTCAACATGTGAAAGATAGAAACTGTCATGTTACAATTAAGAAGATTCCTAGTGTTGATGCTATGCAGGCTAATGCTTTGGGTCCCTTTACTATGCTGGGCTTCATTTTTTTCCCCTTTCTTATACTTTAGATTGCCAACATCCTAGATAGCCACGCAGCTACATTGAACCGGAAATCTGAACGGGAAGTCTTCTTCATGAACACTCAGAGCATTGTCCAGCTGGTGCAGAGGTAGTTACATGGAACTCCAGATTCCCAGACCTGCGCATCCCCATACCTTCCTTTCTTCTAAGTAGTCACAAAGAGGTTTACTTCAGGTTTGACTTAGAGAAATTAGAAAGCACCTCTATCTTAGAAAATACGTTATATCTACTAAATATCTTAGAATCGTGAGCTAGCTCTCCGACTCAGTGTTTCTGATGACTTTATTCTGCATCTTTCTGTCAATTATTAAGGCACAGCAATCTCATTGTTTTCTTTTTCCTTGCAATTTCCATGAAACTCCTAATTTTTATTCTGGCATAGGGCCCCATTTGATATTTATTCTCCTTAGCTTATGGACTCAGCTGTTGGATTAAAGGAACCTTCACAGGACATTTTCAACTTTAAGATATTCATAAACTTTTCAGATACCCCTTAACCACTTCAAGGGTGTGGTGATCGTTTCAACTTAGCAGTGGGGACTGAACCAGGGTGTTGGTAGGTAGGGCTATCAAGTGGTTTTTGGTTTTGTTTTGCACTCTTTTTTTCTTGATTCCTTAATAAGAAAAAGAAAAAATCTTGTCTGTAGCCATATTTCTTTTAGACTTGAATTTTAATTGATCTGGTTAGTTGATTCTAGGCTGTCTCCTGTCCTGTCCTATATTAGAAGGAAAGCAGTTCAGTAGAAATTCTAGTAAATCTGGGCTCTGGGTTTATTATGTAATAGTCTGTTATTTAACAGTGTTAGCCTGTCAGGATTTTCAGTGGGGACCTTTTTCTGTTTGCCCAGGTACCGCAGTGGTATCCGAGGCCACATGAAGGCTGTGGTGATGGACCTGCTGCGGCAGTACCTGCGAGTAGAGACGCAATTCCAGAATGGTAAGTTCTTTCCTGAGGACTCTGTATCTGGCACCATTTCCTTCGAGGACTGAGCAACAGCTGAGCCAGTCCATCCTGTCACTAACACTTGACATTAACAAACTCTTCCTCCTTTCACCAGTCCCTTAAAAATTAAACCTCTATATCTCACTAGCGCCAAAGAAAGAACAACAACAAAACACAGCTTGATGAGATTGTGAATCCAGTGTGCTTCTGGGAGAGGGCTGAGAAATTTTTTCTAGCAGAAGATTGGCATCTTCTTGACCTTGTACAGTGAGAGCTGGTTGAGTCACGACCAGGCTGAAATTGAGAAACCCTATCCAAAGAGCTTGCCTCTCAGCAGCTAATCCATGGATTGAACCACAGCCCTCTGAAAAAGGCTCAGATTTTCCAGTGCTTTTCAGTGTATCAGTTAGGTGGAATTTATCCCTGGCTTTCTCTGTAGAGCTTTACTAAGTGATGTACAAAGTCTCTGACTAAAATACCCTGGCTAAGATTTTAAAGCTACATACTGCTGATACTGCTTTCTGCCACAAGATGGCAGTGAAACACCACAGAATTTGAAAGATTACCTAATGTTTTCTTTTATCAGTCTTGCTCCCTTTTCCAGTCCTTAAAGGATGACTCTCCCACTCATGACAAGGAGAAATACTCAAGTAAATATTGCAAACTAAATGCAGCAGTGTGTGAAATAATAGATCACAATGAAGTTGGCTTTATCCCACTAGTGCAAGCTTGATTAATATTTGAAAAACCGGTTAATGTCATTTATCATGTAATAGATTAAAACAGGAAAAAACATGGCCATCATCTTAAGATATGGATGATAAAAGTATCTGACAAAATTTAATATGCATTCATGATAAATTCTTAGCCAGCTAAGAATGAAATGGAACTTTTTATCATGTAAAGTTCTCCTACAAAAAAATCTGTAGAATGCATCATACTTAGTGGTAAGATGTTGAAAGCATTCTCTTTAAGATTAGGAATAAGACAACGACACATACTATCATTACTGCTATTCAGCATCATACTGGATATCCCAGCCAGAGCAGTAAGATAAGAAAAAGAATGAAAAGGTATGAGGATTAGAAAGGAGTAAGGAAGTAAATCAGCCACTATTAGATATGATATGAGGTCTACCTAGAAAGCCTAAAAAAATCCACATATTTATTATTAGAATTATTTAAAATCTAACAAAGTTGCTGGATACAAAAGTCAATATACAAAATTCAAGTTTTATAGTGGAACAATCATTTAGAAGAGCATTTTGGAAAAATATTCCATTTAAAATAGCAACACAGGGGCTTCCCTGGTGGCGCAGTGCTTGAGAGTCCGCCTGCCGATGCAGGAGACGCGGGTTCGTGCCCCATTTCGGGAGGATCCCACATGCCGCGGAGCGGCTGGGCCCGTGAGCCATGGCCGCTGAGCCTGCGCGTCCGGAGCCTGTGCTCCGCAAATGGGAGAGGCCACAACAGTGAGAGGCCCGCATAACGCAAGAAAAAAAAAAAAAAAAAAAAAATAGCAACACAAAATATGAAATTCTAAGGAATAAGTCTAACAAAAAATGTGCAACCTCTTTTGGAGAAAATTATAATCAGTAAAAATAATAAAGAAGATCTAAATAAATATCACGGCCTTAGGTTGGAATATATATTTGCAAAGTGTTGATTCTCCCTGAATTCATCTGTAGATTCATTGACATTCCGATAAAAATCTTACTAGTGTATTTTTGTGGAATTTGTCAAGCTAATTCTATAATTTACATGAAAGGAAAGGTAACCAAGATTCTTCTAAAGAAATACACTGTGGAGGTATTTGTCCAGTTAAATATCAAGTTTTAATATAAAGCCATAGTAATGAAGAGATTGTGATATTGGTGTAGGGGCAGATTAATAGAACAATGGAACACTGGTTCTGTTAACCCAGAAGCAGATGCAAGCATATATGAAAACTTACTTTACAGCAGAGCAGGTATTGTAAATCATGAGGAAAGGATAGACTTTTCAATAAATGATGCTGGGACAAAGGATTATTCATTTGCCAAAAAAAAAAGATCCCTAATCTAGGCGATACACGCAAAAATCAATTCCAGATGAATTGAAAATTTAAACATGTACTAAAGAGTCAAAGCTACTAAATTTTTAGGAGAATATCCTTATGACCTCAGGGCAGAGACGATATTGTCATATAAGACCAGTAAGTACAGGGATTTCCCTGGTGGTCCAGTGGCTAAGACTCTGCACTCCCAATGCAGGGGGCCTGGGTTCCATCCCTGGTCAGGGAACTAGATCCTGAATGCTGCAACCAAGATCCTGCATGCTGGTAATGAAGATCCCACGTACCGCAACTAAGACTGGGTGCAGCCAAATAAATAAATAAATATATTTTTTAAATTACTGGTAACTTAAAAAAAAAAAAAGACCAGCAATATAGACTATAAAGGAAAAGGGTAAGTAATTTGACCTCACTTAAGAACTTTTTTTTTTGCTGTGCGTGGGCCTCTCACTGTTGTGGCCTCTCCTGTTGCAGAGCACAGGCTCCGGACACGCAGGCTCAGTGGCCATGGCTCACGGGCCTAGCCGCTCCACGGCATGTGGGATCTTCCCGGACCAGGGCATGAACCCGTATCCCCTGCATCGGCAGGCAGACTCTCAACCACTGCGCCACCAGGGAAGCCCTCACTTAAGAACTTTTGTTAGTGAAAAGATACCATAAAAAGACTGAAAATACAAGCCACAATGTGGAAGAAAATATTTACAAATCATGGCAATTAAGAAAGGATTAGTATCTGTAATCTATAGAGCACTGCTTTGAATCAATAAGTAAAAGACAACCTAATAGAAAAATGGGCAAAAGATATAAAAAGGTAATTCACCAAAGAAGAAGCATAAATAATCCACAAACTCATGAAAAGATGTTCAGTCTTATTACTAATTAGAGAAATGTGAACCAAAACCACAGTAAGATTGGCAAAAATTTGAATTTCACATCATCTTCCACCACTTCTGTAAGCAGAAATGCAAATTGGTACAACCACTTTGGAAAACAGTTTGTCAGTACCTAATGGAGTTGAACTTATTTATACTCTTCAACCTAGCAATTTCACTTTTAGATGATATACTCTAGAGAAACTTTTACACATGTTTATTAAGGACACCTATACAGTACTGTCTGTGGCAGTGTTATTCACGAATAGCAAAAAAGACTGGAAACAACCCAAATATACACAAGTAGAATAGATAATTGAATTCTAGTATATTCCTGCAATGGATTACTCTACAGCAGTGAAAACAGATGAACCGAGGTACACACATGAACAAAAGATGAATCTCAAAAACATAATGGTGAGGGAAAGAAACAAGTTACAGAATGATCCATACACAGTGATTCCATTGTTATCAAGTTGAAAACAGGAAAAATGAAACTATGTATACATTTGTGATAAATGTAAAGAAGAGCAAAAGAATGATTAACCTAAAATTCAGCTTAGCGGTTGATTTTGAGGAGGAGCACATTGGATCCTTCAAAGATACTAAAAATGTTCTGTTAAGATAGATGGTAGTTACTCGGGTATTTATTCTTTTGTATGTATACTTCACAATAAAAAGTTTTTAAAAAGAGGCACTTGGTATCATTGCTTTCTTTCTGCTTAGTGTCTCCACTGCCTCTCCTTGGGTAAATATTCTTTTTATTTCCCCCAGTTCTAGTAATTTCTGTTACCAAGATATATTTTTGTTGTCACTTCAAAGCTAAGTTTTGGTCAGGAGAAATATGAATTTATATAGGACAACCAATTTTTAAACAGCTTCCATTTTGTTCAAATGGGTCTTTTATGACATTGGCAGCTCTCTAAATATTGTAGTCCACTGTTTTTCAAATATATTTAGTTTTATTTTGAAAAGAAATCTTATGTCAATCTCTAATATTTAAAATAGATAAAAGCAGAGTTGCTTGGTTGATTGTATTCAGTATTTGAGGAATCCATGGTAATGCAGTTTGAATGCCACTGTTTTGGTTTGTAACCTAACCTGCAGGCTGAAGTAAGGTGATAATCCTTTACTATTTTCATAGAATTCTGACCCTTGAGACTATTCAAATACTAATTGTCCTTTGCTTGGAAATTTAATTCTGAGGTAAGCTGTTTTTAAAGAACTGAACATTACTTGTATCCCATGGTAGATATCACTATAGTATACCTGAAGCTTATGCTTCTGTTGCAAAACATAGCTCTGCTAGGGAGAACTAACCTGCCCCTGGTGGCCTTGTGAAAGGCCAATGAAAATATACATAACTGTACTCTCTCTACAGACCTTTTGACTTCATGCAAGGTTCTCCCTGATCTATGCCTTAGTTTGGATTTGGAATTCCTAGGCATTGCTTAGCTGCTTCATGGACTTCCGGGGGGAAAATGTTGATTGCAGAGGTAGCAGCCATCCTTCCTGTGGACATTGATAAGTTTGGTGTTTTATTTTTGAGCTAAAACTGTACCTCCTAGTTAGGGTGAAACATTTTCAGTGAGTCAGACATGGAACCAGAATCTCTAGCTGGGGTTTAGTGGTATTGACGTTTCTTTTTAAGCAGCCAAACCCTCTCTTCTAAGGAAATAATTCCAGGAAGCTAAATAAGAGAGTTTAGAGTCAGGGTAGGGGGTTGGGGTTATCCCCAGCTCCTCAGTAAGACGCACCCTTCCCCGATCTGTCAAAATTTTTTTTAATGAAAACAGGCCTTAGAGAGGTAGTGATTTACCCAGGAGCATACAGTAAATTGGTAACAGAGCTAGGCTTTGAGCCCAGGTCTTATACCAGGTTGCCTGACTCTTAGCCTCGGGTTGCTTTTACTAAACGACACTGCCAACTCTATACAAATCCATCTAAGAAAATTCTTACGGTATTTCTTCTCACTTCTTATCAGTTTTCTAAGTAGAGCCATTAGCAAACAAACAAATAGCATGTAAACATGAACATTCGTACGTGGGTGAGGATCACTTCTTTTTGCTGCTTGCAGGTCACTATGACAAATGCGTGTTCGCCCTTCGGGAGGAGAACAAGAGTGACATGAACGCTGTACTGAACTACATCTTCTCTCATGCTCAGGTCACCAAGAAGAATCTTCTGGTCACAATGCTTATTGTGAGTACCGTTTTTCAGAACCTGTAAAGATGGTTGATGGTATGAAAAAAGCATTTCTCCTTGTGACGGCTGTGGTCAGAGGAGAAGCTCCTGTCTTTTGTGATTGTGGCATGAGTGGGGCTTGGGTTGTAGATTAACAATTTCTCCCATCTGTCTTTGTCCTTGACCTGAAGGAACCTGCTCCAGTCAGAAAAGGACTGTTCTGCCAACCGTGCATATATTCTCACATGGGAACTCAAATCTCTTCGCTCTACTTAGAGATGCCCCATGCCTCCTTATTCCTCTTGTCACTAGTGACCGTAGCTTTAAAGTCTAGTCTTATCTAGCCAGTGTACTTTTCTGTTATAATGCTTGTTTGTTCCATGAATGCTCTCACATCCAAAACAGAATAACAAAAAACAACTGTTAGGGGCTTCCCTGGTGGCGCAGTGCTTGGGAGTCCGCCTGCCGATGCAGGAGACGCGGGTTCGTGCCCCGTTTCGGGAGGATCCCACGTGCCGCGGAGCGGCTGGGCCCGTGAGCCATGGCCGCTGGGCCTGCGCGTCCGGAGCCTGTGCTCCGCAGGTGGGAGAGGCCGCGACGGTGAGAGGCCCGCATAACGCAAGAAAAAAAAAAAAAACAACTGTTAGAAATGTAGTACTGTTCCTCCCGCACCAAAGAAATTTCCATGTATTCCTCATCTTCTGTGGTCCCTTTCTGTTTTATTTACATGGACATCTAAGCTGGGATTATTGTATTGGTAGTAGATACATGCTTTTGTCCCTATAACCTAGTAATATGAGAATTAGTAGGAAGAGGGAAGGAGAGGTGAGACTAGTAAACGTGAATAGGACTGATGTACATGTGACCAGTGGGTAGAATTTTTGTGGACTTAAGGATTTTTAAAGATGATTTGTAAGTTCCCTACTCCTTGGTTGTTTTGGTTCAGTTAATTCTAGGAATCAGAGAACAATAGGACTATTCTTAGAGCCCCTCTACCCCATGAGCAATTAATTGCCTTGCTGCTGCATGTTTGTGTTTTTTGGAGACTATAGTACCTTTTTGCTCCTGTGCTTTTCTTCCTTGTCCCTTTGTGGAATTGGCATTCTTGGTACCTTAATTCCCTCATTTCTTCTTGGAGGAGAAAAAAACTATACATCTTCACTGCTATTTTTTATTTCATGGCTCGGAATGAAGGGAAACTATCTACCTCACATCTCTGGTTAACAGCAGTGCCACTCACTCAGTTATCTGCCTAGCTGGCTAACTCTGGAGGATGTAACATTTTTTAGAATAGCCACTTAAAAAAATATGTAACCACAGGGAGAGTTCATTACCTTTGCTACCCTAGAATGGCTAGATGGTGGGGAAACCAGAAAATGCATTTGAAAGGAGAAAACAATAACAGCGCAATGTAATATTTTAACTTCTCCAAGTGATAGGTTTCGGCAAAGAAGTGATATTATCTCTGGTAACCTGCTGATTTTCTTTTTCTCAATCAGAAAAGGGAAGAAATCTGACTAATTAGATTTTTTTCCTTAAATTTTAATAAAAGGATTGCTAATTCTCATTTGGATAAAGCCAAGACTTGCTGGCAGAAAAAGGTAATGCTGAGGGTGTGGAAGAATCTGTCAGTTTGGACCTAAAATGGAGTAAAATTTGCCTTTTTAGGAAGCTAGTTATGGTGAGTTTTCATTTTATTATGATTACCTTTTTAAGGACTTAACAGTTTTTATGCACTAAAAATAGGCCAAAGTCCAGAATCCTTGGAGCTGCAGAAGAGTAATGATCGTCTAAGACTGTCGCTGGGTTTCTTAAATTCTAATTTGTAAGATACAGGGGCTCAGCTCGCTCCTTTTGCGGAGTGATTGTAAGTAACGCTTGCCTTAAGAATCTCATTATTGGAACACGGAGCCATATTTCCTCTGAGAATTCTGGAGTAGCTTTGAGCTGGGGCTGTTCATTTCTCAAGTAATCACGCTGGTGTGATGGAGAGAGAAAATGGCAGCTGTTCGGAGCTCAGGCCTTCAATTTTCTTCAGAGTCCAGTCACTCAAGTGTGTAATTACACGGGGGTGCTGCAGGGGCGTTGGGCCCTGTCAGAGAACTGGTTTGAGGCTTTGCTTTCTGCTTTTGCCAGTCAGGACAGGCGTACGCCAATGGGACTCTGACTTGCTGCTGTTCTTATTTTTCCCCACCTTGTCATCCCGATTACTTCTTACCTGCATGGATAGTACCCAAACTTTCTTTCCAACAGGCTGAGCTCTTTGGAGAAAAGAGCTGTTTGTTAATGTTTGGGTTTAGATGAATAGGACGGGGAGGGGTAGGGAGAGAGGGAAGGAGGGAGGAGGGAGGAGGGAGGGGAAGGGGAGGACGAGGGGGGGGGGTAGAGAGAGGAGGAGGAAGGTTGAAGATGTGAGCCAGAAAGATGGATTTGTCCTTTTCTTTATTTTGGCATTTCACATTTATCTTTAAAAAACAAAGGAAAACTTCGTAAACATCTCTAGGCTTTTATATCATTAAATTGCATTTGAAATATCCGTTATTTTGCCCTCATCTCAGAGATTTGGAAATCAAGAAGTTAACTGCTATGCTTGAGCTGAGGGCCAGCTAGCAGTGACTTAGGGAGCAGGAACAAAGGCTGGAAAAGTGCTCCTTTCTGATCTGCCTTCTTTGGCAATGGTCAGGTCCTCCACCCCACATCTGCATTAATGGTGGTAGCTGGGAAAAGCCATTTTAGTTGTTTGGATTTCTCTTTCTGTAGGTCTTACTCTCTTTTATGGATAACAGCTGGATATGGTAGCATTCAATTCCCCCAGCTGTGTTCTCTGCTGGTTCCCCTTTCTTTGCTTACCTTGGCTTCCTGATCACTGTTATGTGCCCAGCATTCCAATCTCTGCTTTCTAGAAGTGGGACTGTTGATGGTGTGCTTTGCTGAACTAGATGATGATTTCTGGGGCTTTGGAACCTAGCGGGAGGGAATCAAGAAAATCAGGCTTCTGTGAATCAGTGTTGTGGGATGTGGGCTGCTCCGAGGAAGCCTTCCTCCCCTCTGGGTGTTAGCATAACTTGCCTACTGGTAACTTGCCTCATAGACTCTCTAGCAAATTTCTTCTAATCTTTTGCTGTATCTGGAGAGCAAAATATCAAGTGAAATGTTAAAGTCCTGTCAAGTTTTCTCTATTTGGAGGAGCATTGTTCCACATTGAAAACAAAGTCAGTAAGTTTATTTTTTGAAAGTTCTTCTTATCTCTTAATTTTATAGAAAAAAGCTTAGAACATTGTTTAAGTTTACTTAAGAGATATTTAAGGGACTCTTTAGCCAAATTGAGCAATTTTGTATCAATGAAAAGTATCAACATCCTCACAGCTGTCTAGATGGCAAAGTATGTATCCTGTAGCCACCTTGATTCTGAAGTGGTCTTCCCCTCACTACTTCTATCTTATTTCTGGTGTGGTCCACACGAATGTAGTATAATCCATGCTTCCTTAGGAGTAATGCCATGCCTGTGAGCCTCTGATTTGGTTCAGACAGGGAGCATTTAAAATGCCTATCCGGGGCTTCCCTGGTGACGCAGTGGTTAAGAATCCGCCTGCCAGTACAGGGGACATGGGTTCTAGCCCTGGTCCGGGAAGATCCTACATGCTGTGGAGCAACTAAGCCCGTGCGCCACATCTACTGAGCTCGCGAGCCACAACTACTGAAGCCTGTGTGCCTAGAGTCCATGCTCCGCAACAAGAGAGGCCACCGCAATGAGAAGCTGGCGCACCGCAACGAAGAGTAGCCCCGCTTGCCGCAACTAGAGCACATAGCAGCGAAGACCTAGCACAGCCAAAAATAAATAAATAAAATAAATAAAATGCCTATCAGCCTCCTTCCTTTTTCCTCCCAACATAACTGCAAATAATTTCGTTCAACGTGTAAATAATGGAGAAAAGTCCCAGTAAACCCAGGTTTACTGAATATGGGTTATATTAACATTTCTTGTTTAATCTGTCCCACAACATCCTTGGAAGGTCCTTGGAAGAAATTCTAGCTGTGACTGGAAGAAGCTTCCAGTCCATTTTTGATATTGGGATTGGTGCCTCGTCCAGCTGAACAGTAGTTAATGTCTTGAGAATATTACCCATTACGTCACATCTTTTCATTTTGAATTGTCTTCAAATCTTAGGATGCTAAGATCAAGTTGGCTATATTGGGCTCTCCTGGCAGTCAGCTACATAACTTTGGCTACGGTTTTGACACTGAAGCCTGCTTGTTATATTTCTGCAAATCTGAACTATTCCTTGTGGTTAGCCACCACCTAGGTTAAGAATGAAAACAAGAAATAACTGTGTGGTACCAATCTTAACCATTATTGAATAATTTTCACTTTGGCTTGCAGATTTATGCAGGTAATCCCCAAATCAGGAGGTAGTCTCATTAAATGAACCTGCCTCTATACACTGAGGAAACATAGGCTGACACCATCACCATTTAATGTTACTGTTACAAAATATTCACCAGAGTTAGATGGTGATGTTGGGCTGTCCAGTTGCCCAAAGGACATCTGTGTCTAGGCCAGAGGGCTGTAAACTTCCTCTTGGATGCTTGTATCTTAGGGTGGGTGGTTCTGATGAATGGAATCGTCTTCCATCCCTGGTGGTTTCTTTCACAACTTGAACACTGTGTTCAGGTCAAGGACAGGAGAGGGTTGAGAAGGTTACACTACACACAGTTTTCTGTTGCACATCTTTTCCTAAGTACTAATGATGACAATAGAGAAAATAATATTTGAATGGGGAATTTCCAAGTCAGGATAATTTAATGGAAGTAGTGGTTTATTCATACTGTGTTTGATATTTCACATGCCAAAAAGGTCAGGTTTCTGTACTTTATCACAAGGAGTCCAGGAGGATTGTCAGTTGGTGATCGTGAACGAATAATTACTTCCCTATTATTTTTTCTAGTCTCCATAGTTCACTTTTCTTACTGAAAAGAAGCTTCTCTACCCCCTTTCTCACTCCCTCTCTCTCATAATGGAAAGATGAAAAAGTTTTTTTTTAAGTAGTTGTGTGCATGTGTTTTAGTTAGAATGTGATCTGTAGTTAGGCAAGATGGCAACTCCATTTTTAAAAATTTATTTATTTATTTTAATTTAATCTCAAAAGGTAAACCTGGGTTTCCTTTCGAGGGAAACCAGTCCATATCACATCTGATATAGGTTGGGTAGGTGGCTAGTGTTCTTATTTTGTTGTGTTGACTTTTGCTGTTAATGTTGAGACTTTAGTCTGACTATTTGCAGAGCAGCTGAGTTCTATTACCCAGGACATCTCTTAGGTTTTTGAACCTCTCAATGGGTCCATTCTGATGACTGAAGTAAGTACCTCAGAAAAGAGTATATTTGCTCTATTAGGAACATTAGGTAAAGAGGGATTTAGGTAGGAAAAGCTTATGGTTTCCCTACCCACTGTTATCTACCTATTCTTTCCTTCCGTCTTGTTACGGCCTTGTCGCTGGTGATTTGATTTGATTTTTTTTTTTTAATATATATCATCATCCCATTTCCTTTTTTTTTAAACTATGTTTTTGGCTGCATTGGATCTTTGTTGCTGCACGTGGGCTTTTCTCTAGTTGTGGCGAGCAGGGGCTACTCTTCATTGTGGTGCGCGGCTGGTGACTTTTATTAAAATTCTGTTTTGCTCATAAGTTCTCAATAGAAGATGAGACTTGGTTGCATTTTCTCCCTCCTCTTTGCTTTTTCCCTGGGATGGGAGGAATAGGTCCTTCAGTCTGTGACTACATGCTCAGGCGAGCCCTGGATTTATAATCACTTTCTTCTTCCACTCAGATGAGTGAATCCCCTGTGTTAAACAGGTGAAAACAATACTTGCACTTCGTTAACTATAAATACCATCATGTGGTTTACGACTCTGGCGCACACCTCTGGTTGTGGATTGGGGAACCAGAAAGTATTTCCTGCTTTAAAATGTTTGAGAAGCTGTCTTTCCAGCATACCAGTGTTGAGTACTCCAAAACTGTTTACCCTGTGATGTGGAAGGTGGTAGGGGGTTGTAGAAAAAGCGTTTGGGGAAATGTATATTTGCCCCCAAAGCCAAAAGCCCCACACTTCTATTTGTGCTGTGCTGGTAAAGGACTGTACGGAGTATCCCTGAGATGGGGAGGGCTGAAGATGAAATGGAGATTCTTCAAGAAAAAGGCTGATAATCCAGGAAGGAGAAAGATTAAAAGGCAGCAACAGGAAGCGTTTTGGGATCTGGTTGTCTTTCATGTCCGATTCAATAGTTGGGTGGGGGAGAATAAAAATTCACTAAAATATAAAGGCAGTTGTTTCAAACTCCAAGTCGAGGGAACTATGTGATGTGGTATTAAGAACTACTATTACAGATAACTCTGTAAATTTCAAAAAGGACATTTATAAAAGTGCATCTGCAGTTTTTTCAGCTTAGATGAGAATTACATGGATAATGGATGAATTTAGGGAATAAACTTATACTGCCCTGGAGAAGAAATATTTTCCCCAAAATATGAGAATTTTTTTTCTTAAAATTTTTTAATTTTTTGGAGACAAAGGACCCAAGTCTGAATTACACCATGGATTGTATAGTAGGAGCTTGGTTTTTCCCTCTAATCCATCTGAGGAATCACCATGTTTAGGTATTATGGAATGATTCGTGGTACAGCAAGAGGATAAATGATTTGGGGTATAGAATTGTCAGAATATGAGATGGTGTTTTTAGTTAGCGTGTATTTATAAATGAATAATTTGTGCTTATGTTTCTGTTTTGCACCCTCCTGGGATGCTGAACATTTGGTTTGTGGAATGAAAACCATCAGGAGTGTTTCCTTTTGCCTTATTCTGCCTTCTTTCCAAAAGTGGGAGAGGGAACAGGAAAGCTTTTAGTCCCTATATTATTTAAAACCTCTTAAAACTTTGAGACACCCTTTGTTATTTCTTAGCGAGAATCCCTTGACCCCTTTTAATGGTCTCTAATGATTTCTATTGTTTAAAGTCTGGTGTTGATTTATAAAGAAATACATTAGGAATTTAGAATCTGAATGGCTGAGGAATTGGGCTTCTCCTTGGCAGCAGCTTCCTCTAGGATCTCTTTTTTTTTTTTTTTTTTTTCGCTAGGAATTTAGAATCTGAATGGCTGAGGAATTGGGCTTCTCCTTGGCAGCAGCTTCCTCTAGGATCTCTTTTTTTTTTTTTTTGGCCGAGCGGCATGTGAGATCTTAGTTCCCTGACCAGGGATTGAACCCGCGCCCCCTGTATTGGAAGCGCGGAGTCTTAACTACTGGACCACTAGGGAAGTACCCCTCTGGGATCTCTTTACCACATTGTTTAGGATAAAGGTAACAGGACATTTGCATCTTAGTAATCTAGCTCTGTTTACTTTGTTTTTATTCCCTTTTCCCATCTCAAAGTTCTCTCCACCTCAGTTCTTTTTAACATGGATATGTATGTTTTTTGTCACATTAACAATTAGGATCAGTTGTGTGGCCGGGACCCCACTCTCACTGACGAGCTGCTGAATATCCTCACGGAGCTAACTCAACTCAGTAAGACCACCAATGCTAAGGTGGCGCTCCGAGCACGCCAGGTAAGGACATGTGTTGGCTGTTCGGAGGGAGGAATGGTTTTCATAGACTGGGCAGTCCTAGATGCAATGAGCTCTTCCTCCAGCACCTTCCAAAGGTCATGCAATTTCCCATGTAGGTCTCATTGCCCTCAGAACAAACATTCTCACGTGGTATATGTTTTTTAAAGAGAAAGGAAAAGATTAACGTTAAGTTTCTTTAAAACAGGAGCCCTCTAGAAGCTAACACAACATTGTAAAGCAACTATACTGCAATAAAAATTAATTTAAAAAATAGAAGCCCTCTCCCCATTATAAAATCCTGTTATTATTCCCTACCCTTCCTAGTAAACCAGGGTCACATGGAGGAAAGGAAACTGAGGGAAAGCAATAGGTTTAATATTTCTGACTTTCCAAAGGGAGCTTAGAAGCAGGTGAAAACTTTTAAGTGTATAGGAAAAAATCAAGTGTGGAAAGCAAGAAGATAATGAAATGAATCTTAGGTGCTAGCCATCAGCACAACCCCAGAGCAGCCCAGTTTCACCCTGTAGTCTTCATTTCCATTCCAAAAGGTTTCAGCAGGGAAACCAGGAGTTGGCACTCCCTTTGTGTTCCAGCGCATGGGCATCGACAAGGAAGCAGCATTTGAAGCTGTTCAGTGACCTTCTGCTTTCTCTTCAATTGTATCCATGTCACTGAATTACTCAAAGTTATTGAACCTCTCAGTGACCTGCTGAGGGTATTCAGGTCCTACCGTGTCCCTGTTTTTGTTTGTGACACTGCTTTCACTCGCTCTGCCCGTCACATGCATTGGTGTTACATCCTGACACCTCCTCCTTGGGACTGAGTACCTGGGGCTGTCGGAGCAGCTTTTCCTAGTCTTTCCCCTTCAGAGTTGCAAAAGGCTAGCTCTGCTGCACCAACCTTCCCCACAGCTGTTCCCTGCCAGACCTGATTCCCCATTAACAGCTAGTCATGCAGTCCCCAGGACTAGCAGTTCTGCAATGGTAAATCACATGCACTGATGGAACTTGATTGAAGCTGTTTTTTCTCCCTCCCCCTCCCTTTGCCCCCATGGGAAATTGCTCACAAGCAAATCATGGTAAGAGTCAACTGAGATGCAGTATTTGGTGGCCTTGGCTTTATGTTACAGGACCCAGAAGTTGTTTTACTTGGTCTCTTTTATCTTTGATGCCTGCACTTACAGATTTATATTTATTGCTTTTGTATCAGAGCTGCCTAATAGGAGCCTAGAATAATCACTCCCTCAGGAACTTACGCCTTTTATTTTGCTCTCACTCTAGGTTCTTATTGCCTCCCATTTGCCATCATATGAGCTTCGCCATAACCAAGTAGAGTCTATCTTCCTATCAGCTATTGACATGTATGGACATCAGTTTTGCATTGAGAACCTGCAGGTATACATTATAGCCCTTTTCTGCCACTCTGCACTCTTGTCCCCTTTATTCCCAAGCATAGTTTAAGTAATCAGTCAGTCAATTTTGATTTTCTGTGTAATGAAGTTTCATACCTTGAATTTCTAAAATGATTTATACTTATGTGTTTTTTCTTCATAAAATGCTGTTAGAATTGTGGCTTAGCTTTAAAATTGAATAGGCCTGCCTTGGTAGAAGTGTCCTAATGAAGTCTTCACCTCTTGCGCTTTTATCTAGAAGGTATTCTAGGACAGAATGAAGTGGTAGCACTGGTTGATTTCTGATATATGAATCAGATGTATAAATAGGTAGTCGTTAGTCTTCTACAGTCAAAGATACTTAAATAATCATTTAATTTTATTTTAATGCTTACTATTAAGCTTCATACAGAGCCAATTTTATTTATTTATTTATTTTGCGGTACGCAGGCCTCTCACTGCTATGGCCTCTCCCGCTGCGGAGCACAGGCTCCGGATGTGCAGGCTCAGCGGCCATGGCTTACGGGCCCAGCCACTCCGCGGCATGTGGGATCCTCCCAGACCGGGGCACGAACCCGTGTCCCCTGCATCGGCAGGCGGACTCCCAATCACTGCGCCACCGGGGAAGCCCCAGAGCCATTTTTTTTTTTTTTTTTTTTTCTTGCGTTATGCGGGCCTCTCACTGTTGTGGCCTCTCCCATTTGCGGAGCACAGGCTCCGGACGCGCAGGCTCAGTGGCCATGGCTCACGGGCCCAGCCGCTCCGCGGCATGTGGGATCTTCCCGAAACGGGGCACGAACCCGCGTCTCCTGCATCGGCAGGCGGACTCTCAAGCACTGCGCCACCAGGGAAGCCCCCCAGAGCCAATTTTATAAAAGAATATTGGCTAATTTTACTGCTAATTCAGAGAACCTTGACTATTATTTTTAAAACAACACCATTTTGTCAGGAATGACTTTCTATTTTTCTACTTGGAAATAACGATAATATTATACCTAGCCAAGGGAATCTTCAGGGTTTCTATCAGATTTCATTCTGGGGAAACTAAAGAGGGGGGAAGGATGTTTTTGCTTATTTGGTTCATAGTTGAAATAGAGGGTTCAAAAATCTATGGCTTACCATAGTGGAGTAGTGAGACAATATATTAAAAATTAAGTATGGATATGTGTCAGAAAGGATAATAATAGCCATAAACACTTATATTAGCATATAATTAATGCACTGTTAATGCATTAGTCTAAGAATTTTATGTATATTAACTCTTCAACAGCCCTGTGAGGATAGGTATTCTTATTTTCCCCATTTTGTAGCAGAGGAAGCTGAGGCAGAGAGAAGGTAAGATCATACATGACCTTCATAGACAAAATTCTTAAGTTTCACTAAATGCTTCAAATGCTAAATATTGTCCATTGGAATTGTTCTCTTATGGATGTAATGGTTTAAGCTTGTCTTTGTACCTTCCAGAAACTCATCTTGTCCGAAACGTCAATTTTCGATGTCCTACCAAACTTCTTCTATCACAGCAACCAGGTCGTGAGGATGGCAGCTCTGGAGGTAGGTTCTCATAGTAATGTGACATGACCTTTTTCTCAGTTTCTGGCTGACTCCTTTTGTCCATTTGGCTATTGTTATCCGTCCTTTTTCTTTGGCCTTAACGTCGGTTCTCAAGAGTACAGAACCTTCCTCTTTTCCTCTGAAACAAATGGTCTTGCTTTTACTCAAGTGTGTCAACTCAACTAATCATCAGCTTCTGGGCTCCAATCACAGGAAAATAGCTGCTAACATTTTTCAATTCTACTTACCAGGTATTTGAATTCTTCCATTTCATAATGATTAGGATTCCCTGTTAACACAATAAGTGAAAAAATATGTGGCTGATCAGAGCAGTACCATTTTGTGATTTGGGCCAAATAGAATGGATTTTAGTTATATTCTGAATTGTCAAGCAGTTCTTATGAACTATTTCGGCATGAGAAGGAAAGTAATAACATTTAATGAACTGGGTTTTACGTGCTTTATTTTTCTCATTTAATCCTACAATTACTTCATGAAGTAGAAGAAAGTGAGCCTCTGAGAGGTTAAGTGACTTTGCCCAAATTCACATGGATAGTAAGTGGAAGAGTTTGCATTTGAACCCAGGTCAATCTGACTCATGACTTTTCTGTTTCCACTACAGCACCCTACCTCATTAAGCACAAAAATTGCAGGCCCCAAATACTGCTGTAAAGTTGCCAAGTAGATGTTTTTTTTGAAGATGAGGAAAAGGAGTGTCTTCAATGATTTTATGTGATACGATACCACTACAGCCCTTTGCGAGCTCTTTTGGGTTACTTTTTATTTGTATTCTGTGGGGAGACTGTAATGTATGCTACTCAGTAAATATCAAAATTTGAAAATATCTTAAGTGTTCTGCAGTGTCTTTATGCCATTTAATGCGAAGTCTCCTGATGTACCTCACATGCTGCTGTGTCTCATTTTATGTGCATGATGGCAAATTAGCTGTGAAGTACATGAGGTTGGACTGACGGGTTTTCCTGAGACGTGGCCTGTTGCTGTTTCTTTGAGTCAAGTTAGTGTATTTGAGATATTATATGTCAACTTATGCCTTCCTGATTTTGCCTAGGGTTTGGGGGATATAGACACTGTAAAATCGATTTGGGCCAGTGGGAAAACAAAGCAAAGATACAAGATAGTGAAAGAGGTAGACTGTACTTCAATTGTTTCTGTCTTCTATCTTCACTCCTCAGGTGGCCCAGAATCAGCACCTCTCATTTTTCTCCCTGTTTGCTTTTATTTTTAATTAATTAATTAATTTATGGCTGTGTTGGGTCTTTGTTGCTGTGCGCAGGCATTGAGTGGGGCCACTCTTCACTGTGGTGCGCGGGCTTCTTATTGTGGTGGCTTCTCTTGTTGCAGAGCACGGGCTTCAGTAGTTGTGGCGCACGGGCTTAGTTGCTCCGCGGCATGTGGGATCTTTCTGGACCAGGGCTCGAACCCATGTGTCCTGCATTGGCAGGCGGATTCTTGACCACTGCGCCACCAGGGAAGTCCCTCTCCCTGTTTGCGTTTATCTTCTGTTGAAATCATCATGTGTAATGAATTAATAGTCATGGTTCTATATACTTTTGTGCTAACTGGTCAAACCTTCTCTCGAGTTTAGGTCAGTGTGAAGGGTTTATAGCACACCTAGAGGTGTCCAGCAGAGGAAGGCTAGCTTTGTTTCCATTTATAGTCATGGATATAGTTTTAAGACTCCAGCTTTATTAATTAAAGCAAGGTATGTATGTACGGGGCTTTGGGACTTGTCACCACAGATCACCTTCTTCTGCATCAGACACCTCTTTTCAAGACTGTCTTTTTCCTGGGCTAACCATCTCTTAGTTTCTGTTTTTGAAGTGTATTTACTGAGGATTACTTTTTAACCAGGTGTATGTTCGAAGGGCTTATATTGCCTATGAACTTAACAGTGTACAACACCGCCAGCTTAAGGACAACACCTGTGTGGTGGAATTCCAGTTCATGCTGCCCACATCTCATCCAAACAGGTGAGTTTGAGCTGGTGTGTGCACCTGAGCCAACCAGAGCTCTATCAGAGTTAAAGGGAGGGTGGGGGTGGGTAATGTGTGTGTGACCATTCTGTATGGTTGTCTAAGCTAGAAATGTAGAGCAGAAAATGAACATGTTTAAACCATGAGAAGAAGAGCCTCTTGGTGTCCATTTCTTTTTTTATTTTTTTGATCTTTGATCTGGACAGATAAAGTGTGGTCTAATTAAGATAGAAGTTTAGGATTACTCCATTCATTTTCTTTTGTTAGAAATTTATTTATTTATTTATTTATGGCTGTGTTGGGTCTTCGTTGCGGTGCGCGGGCTTCTCGTTGCAGTGGCTTCTCTTGCTCTGGAGCATGGGCTCTAGGTGCATGGGCTTCAGTAGTTGTGGCACACAGGCTCAGTAGTTGGGGCACACAGGCTTAGTTGCTCTGCAGCATGTGGGATCTTCCCGGACTAGGGATTGAACCTGTGTCCCCTGCACTGGCAGGCGGATTCTTAACCACTGCACCACCAGGGAAGTCCCTCCGTTCATTTTTTTTT